CGGCCGTTGGGGGCCGTGCGCGGGTGGAGCGAGGCGCTCCTTGGGGTCAGCCGTTCTTGGACGCGTCCAAGCGGGGCTCAGGGGCCGAGTGCGGCCGCCCTCCATTCGCAGTGAGCGGCCTTTCAGTCCTTTAACGCCAAAAGCGCCGGGGAAAGAGCGTAAAACCCTGCCCCGTACTCTTTTCGAAGCCTTTGGCTATAGGCAGCCAGCTTGCGTTTTAGAGCAAACTACCCGTTTCCTTCTTGGAACAACTGCAGCAAGCAAGAGTTGCCCTATGGTCACAGGCAACAACGGCTCAGAGCCCCTTAGCAGGGGACAGTAACAGTCCGTACTAGTGAGCCAACATGTGTCTTAACTACACTCACTACATGTCCCCCCTTCCTTGATAAGGAGGAAGCTGGATGAGACAAATCACATTATTCGATCTCTACCATCTGCTCAAGTAACCTTCTACATGTTTTTAAAACACCAAATTCTGAAACCTTGCATGACACAGGCACTTCCTTTCTTGGTTAGGAGCTCATACAGCCTTTCCTCACACTGAATAGAAAGAATGATTTTTAAAAGGCCCCTGGGGAGAAAAAAACAAGCCAGAACCATTAAGACTCATAGAAGCATAAGACTCACTCTTGTCAATTATTATGACTTATATGCCATAACAAATTGATTTGGCTTTATATATTGATTTTGTACATTTTTCCATTACAAACCAAGAGTCAACCAGAAAGGTCAGTGGTAGTTAAAGTGCCAAATAATGTTTTTTTAGCTGAAAATTAGTCTGCTCTAGTAATTAGCATGTTAGCAGGAGTACCATTAGAGCACTCACATTTATTTTGTGCCCCTGAAAAGGCTGTTAGTCCAACTGGGAAGGTATAGATATCTTCAGGCATTTGCTGCCTCCCTTCCCCAATTTCCCCACTCTCCCATTCCGTCAGAGCAGACCTTAAGCCTTTCCAGGTCACTTCATTTTCTATATTGGAGAGAGCAGAGAAGAATCCTCATTTTAACGATGCTCTGAAGCACACAGCGTCTTTAAAGACCGACTGCATGGCTTTTAGAATGATTACAGGCAGGAAGGAAGCAACATGAAGCAGTGAAATAGGGCAGAACACATTACTGAATATAAATATATACTTAAGTCCACAATCTTACCTTAACTAGAGCTGCTAAAACTGAAACTTATTTTTGTTGCTGTTTTTTCATTCACATTTAATTAATAGGGATGATCTTTCTACCAAAGGTTCTATTTACCACGTGGAGGATGTACACAGTATTAGATAAACAGCACTGTTAGATGGATAGGTAACCTGTGTTGTCAGCGTTGTGAGTCACAATCTATCCACTGCAGGAATCTAACAGCTTTTATCCTTTAATAAAATGTTTCCTGTATTCATATACAAGAATGCAAGTCTATACTTCTAAGTTTTTGCAGATTAAAACGTTCTAACATAAGAGTCCGAGGTTAGCTACGGGCTTTGAACATAATGCCTTTAACTGCTTGCATTGGCTTCTCTTCCTTGACCCAAATGAAGGGGGATTACTTCTATGTGAAATAGCCACGAGCGAGGGCTGTGTGAACAGTATGCAATTGCTTTTAGAGAACGAGGATTTCCAAATAATTTCCAGAAAACTAGCTGGCAAATCAGAAAGTGCACAGGCTAATGTTTTGGCTTGTCTACTTTGTGTCAGCCCAGGAGAGGGCAAGAATAATCACAATCACAGACAATTTAGGTGGATCACTTGGGAAAGGCAGGGTTAAGAACTGTGAAATACATGGCCCAACCTATTAGAAAACCAGGTGCAGAAGCAATCATTTTCTGATCCCACTCCAGAAGAGCAGAAGACAAGTAAACCTCCACCACATACCTTACTAGCAGTGAGTACATTACTGTGTGTCAGGAGTCTGTAACATCCTAAAATACTGATAAAAACAGAGCTCTCTGTGCCCCTAGGTGCCTAACCAGTCTAATGGCTATTTTTCAAGGTAAGCAGTGGCTTTTAAGAGCATGTTTTTTAATACTGCGAGAGGGTAGTAGCATATAGAAATGGCTTCTCTATGAGGAAAAAAAGAAATAAGCTAATGTGGTTTTAAACAAAAAGTATGAAGAATACTGGCCCTATTAGGACTCTATTATGAGCATATTTTTACAAAAATAGACCCTTTTCTACTTTACATACTAGGGAGTTTCCCTTTATATTATCCAACTGTTGCTTGGCACAGACAATATTGTCATAAACAAACAGTAGAGTTGAGCTTGTCCAGTTGATGGTAAACTTGAGGACTGTTAGTGACCAACCAGATGATTTTTTCTCCCCTCCTCTCTAGGGTTCCTGCCCCTAAATATGTAGAGTACCATGCAGTCATATATAGCTCAAAGAAATTCTGAAAGAAAAAGGCATTAGCTCAGTATGCAGGAGGAGACTTTTCATCAGTTTTCTCCAAAGACAGATGATGTTTTAAATGCAAAAAGGAGCCTTAAAATTGATATTTCAGGCTCAAAGGCGAAAACTTCCTTTTCTCCAAGGAAACTATTTTCCTATCCTATTCCTAACTCCACTGCATTTAATTCAGGTCAAGTAGAGTTCTGTCTATAATTTTGCTTTGTTTCATGAGTTCACCTAAATGAGTAGATAAATTTTAGATCAAGATTCCCTTTCCTTGCAACTGTTAGAGAATTCCTCTTCTCCTCCATGCAGGTGGGTTGGTGGCTCTATCCTGAACCTTCCTCCTCTCACCATACACTTCTGCCGTCAGAGCACGATGATCTAAGTCATGGCAACACTCTGCAAGTGCTACCAACCCTGGCCCTGTTATATGACCTTCTCCCAGGCTTCGGTTCCAAGAAGAAGATCCTTGCATCCCAGAGAGCTCCTGCTCCTGTTTCTATCTTTCCATCCCCTCCCCAGCACATCCAGAGTACGTGCTTTTCCACTTTTCCTTGGATAAAGCAGGTTTCCAGCAAAATGAGGCAGGATGTGCACATGCAGATCTGCCTGCCTAGACAGCCAACACTTGGCCTGAACTGTGGCCTCACAGCCCATGGGAAGAGCCCATGTGGGCATGTACACACTGGAAGAATTCTGGGAGCTTCCCCCTTCCAATTTCAGGCTCCTCTCCTCTGGTTTGCGAGCCAGGTGATGTATCCTGTAAGCAGAACCTTGTCACTTTTTTTTTTTTTTTTAAATAAAAACAAAGACATGAGAGCCAGCCAGAGTAAAACGGGAACAAAGTGAGCCAAAGATCACTAACAGAACAGAATAGAAATGAAGCCAAAAACATGGTTGTAACCATTTCATAAGCAACTTGATACAAAGATCTGTTTATTACCCAACAATGTGACAATATATACAAGACAGTGTGGAATGTGGCATTTACAGGGAATTTCATTATGACATGCACATATACTACTGAAGTTGTTCCAGAACATGTTAAGCTGAATAAATATTCCCTGCTTCAAAAAAATCAATTTTACTTTTACATAAAAATATAATATTGCACTCTTTACAAGGCCAGCAATTTTGCATATTACTTTGAACAAGTGGAATTCTGCTTTATAAAAATAAGCCTTTATGAGCAACATCCCAGACCAAGGAGCACAAAAGCACCCCAAAACCACAAAATGTGTTTTCTTTCTTTTAAATAATACACATCACTTCAACATGAGCCAAAAAGCTTTTCAGTCTGTGCTTGACCTTACATTAACATTGGGATAATGAAAAACATTATTAAAGCCATCCCATACAAAGCTGCTACAATATATGTAATTTAAATTCAATTAATACAGTATGCAGTCACTTAATTAAATCAAGGATCAGTCTTTGTCACAGACTATGAGAAGACCTTTTTAGATCAAGTTTCCTCAGCTGAAAAAGTTTTTCAAATTGGGAAGTTTCTGTAAAGACTGTTTGGAATTTTGAAAGTACAGATCTCTTGTGTGCACTTTTGCTTCGTAACAACTTGATATTCTCAATTACAGAGTTCAAGGTTTGTTAAGCCTTAACCTTAAGGTTAAGATGAACCTTAAACATGAAGAGATAGAACAGTTCATCTGTGTGGTAATAGTGGAATATGGAAATGATAAAAACAAAAGAAAAAATGTAGTTTATCAGGCTTAAGGAGCATTCTTGGGTTTTACCTTTCAGATTACTCATAGGTACAGTGTGAATCAGGTTTAGAGGCTTTAAAATCCATCTCTTGAAATGGTAACTTTTGATCTGGCCCAAGACTTCAAATTTCAAGACTTTCACACTGGAGATTTATTATTTTTCCTCTCAAAAATAATAGCACCTAGCAATAAATAGCATATTTGCACAATGTATTCATGTAAACTCTTCCAAATCATCTGATGCCTACAAACATGTATTAGTCAGGCAGTTAGATTCAAACATTTTACAGCGTATTTAAGTTCAATGTCACTCAAACGGGAGCACACCTGTGCCTTCCTTAATACCTTTTTTTTTTTTTAGAGCTCTGAAGATAAGCTATACATATGTATTTCCTGTCACAGAACCAAAATAGCTAGTGTTACAAATCTGTGGAGTTTACACTGGGGAAAACAAAACAAAACATCCCCCACAAAACCCTGACTTAACTATTGCTTCATGATGCCATGAGATGTGTGCCCATCACTAAGACACAGGTATTTTATTTTTGTCTGTTGGAAAGACTATTATCCTATCTCAACAGAGAAGACAGCAAACATTACAAATATAAAGGTAACAGATTTTATAATTACAATACCATAAGATGGTGCAAAAAGCACCTACAGAGTTCTTTGCTTCTCAAAAAAGCAATTTTGAGTGACCTTGGATTTTTAAGTTTTGGGTCAATTATCCCAGAGCCAGTAGTACCACACTCAGCTAATCATGTATATATATGCTGACATTTTTATAAATAAAGAACTTTACACTGTTGATATTTTACAACAGAAAAGAGGGGGATGTTGCTATTATCAATTCAATTGTCAAAATTCTGGTGTCCATGAAGTGATTTAAAAAATACTATTACATTTTATATTGCAGCATTTTGGCTTGTAGGTTAGAGCATTTATGTGCCACTTTGCTGGTATTAGAATATATGACCAGAGCTTCCTGTGACCTCAATACTTTTCAAATTTGTGCATGAATATACACAATTTTACAATGATCTTAGACTGCTCTTCCTTTTTTTTCTCCCCCTCCAATTTCTTTCAATCTATTCAGTCATTTTAAAGACATTTTATTTATTTTATTTCAAAAACCCAGTTAAATAAAAGTTTCTGTAACCTATTTTGGATTTAAAGTGCATCAGAGACTTGAGTTAGCAGCAAAAATAGTCATCAGCCAGCTGCATAGCTGCTAAGGAATGAGTAGAACATGGGTAGCTTCAAGCGCTGCTGGTCCTTGCGACACCAACCTATGACATTTCCATCACTATTAGCTGTGAACAAGTGATGACCATCACAGGAAAATGTAAGGCTGAAAAACAAGAAAACAACCTATATTTGTACCACATTTGACTACTTAAAAGTGGCAGAGAATATTAAAAACACTGCAAGAGTACAGCAAATATAAACGAGCTCCTGAGTAGGGGAGTCCCAGCAAGTACTTCAGCTCCATAGTGTTTGCCAATACGTACTTAGATTTGCAACCCATCTGAACTGCAGCTCTGCCCAGCAATTGAACATGTCATGCAGTTTAGTACATCCATTTATTTGCAGCGTCAAAGCAAGTGAGCTGCACTGATCGTACTCCCTGCGCTGCTGCTTCCATCCTCCGAAACTCAAGCTGCCCGGCTGCGTGACACAGCACAGGGCTTCTGTTCAGTTGGGTATTTCCTAAGCTATAACATCAGTGAAACTCTCCAGTCATGCCATGAATATTGTTAGAGAGCATGAAGATCATCATCTGTTTTCCATCTCATTTAAGCAGGCTTCTTTAAATTATTCTGTAGATACTAAATCATTATCAACAAGCTTTGTGAAATGCTTCTTAAAGGAGGTAATTGAATGACAGCAGTTGCTATCAGACAGGGCTTTTTGCTTCTAAAACCCAGTGATTAGTGGTTTGTTTTTTTTAATGGTGTTCCAGCAATGGTCACAACAAAGTCATCTGTTGAGTGAATTACTCTGAAAAGGGACTGATGCCCCTCTGGGGATATGAAGAATTGGATGCTGTGCGTTCTGAGCACACTGACATGAGAATAATTCTGCTTATATAAATGGTCAAATGGACTCTAATGGTCAAAATTACACAAGCACTCTAAAATGGCAGCTTCAGCCCTACCTTAAATTTCATTTGCTCCTTTCTCCACTGTTTCCCTCCAGCCTCAGAAAAAGCAGCTGGGGGAAATGCAATATCTTAATTTGTTTCTGAGGGAGTAAAACCTTTTATGGCTACTCAAGTCTGCTCAAGCTAAAAGGCTATCTCCTGATTATTAAACAGCTCCTAGGGGAAAACACTGAACTTAAGAATAAAGAGTAACTATTGTTCAGTACAAGGGAACCCTGCTAATTTCAATCTGTATTCATCTTGTCCTGATAGCAGCAAAAAACCTAGTTATTAATGCCATTACAAATAGAGTACATTTGTGCTCTTTTCACTTCCATGACTAATTAATAGAACTGCATGCCTGCTTTCAGAAATGGTTGTTTATCCCCTGTCTCCATGACAACTCCATGTTCAATACTCAAGGCCAGTTTTTGGTCTTATTTTCAAAGAAAAATAAGTCTACTGTAAATTTAGAGTATTTTTTACCTTACAATAGGTTTGGCTGACTTTGAAAATGTTATTTCTCGCACTGGCTTCAAGTCCCAGGTACTCCACAGTCTGAAAGAAAACAATTTTCCTTCACATTAAATTTTCTTTAAAATACTTTAATGTTATATATAACTAATTTTAGCAACTGTTAAGTTGAGAAACTGGACACCAGTTTGTCCAAATTTTCAAGTCAAATAGTGTGACTGAGTCCACATACTCACCAAATATGAAACAAATTACAAAGCATTTTAATAGATACAGAAGTTCAAATGCTTACCTTACAACTCCATTTTCCAGCCCTCCTGCAATCACGTTGACAGATATTCCTTCAGGCTGGTTGGAGAAGGCAACAGAGCAAATACTTTCCCTGCAGTGGACATGTCCCACGAGATCACCATTAACTGTCCAAAGTCTCAAGTCACTACCCCCTCCAACTGTAACAGAACAAAAATGACAATATTAGAAGAAACCTAAACTACACCTGGAGCTATGAAACAGAAGCATAAAAAAAAATATATCAGCTTCTCAAGGGATCAGAAGGTTTAAGGCAGTTCTAGTCCCACATGCTGCAGCACACAGAGCCCTCCTGCTTTTGTCATGATGAATGCGCCTACCACCAAGCCACCATAAAATAGTTTAAAAGCTCTGTCACTTCAGAGTTGTGGGACACAGTACTTAAATTCTATGCAAATTTATTTTTAAAGACCTTTTTTAACATACTAAGATGGAAACACTAAGAGGGAATTCATATCAGCTCCTTTAAGCAGCTAGTTGTTGAACCATAAGTTAGATCTGTTCACATTTCAAGCGTTAGCTATAGAACATCTACGCTTGACTCAAACCACTGCCTAATCATTTCCGGAGAAACTCATATGTTTCTGGACAAAGGCCCTCACCTCAAAACAAAAACTCATATGTTTCTGGACAAAGACCCTCACCTCAAAACAAATGATTTTTGACCCTCAAATGTACCTGAATCGCAGACTGTTGCGATATCACCAGTTGTTTCACTAGCTGAAACTGCAGTCACAGGGCTCTTGTGTCCGGCCAGACTCTGGACATAGCACAGCCTGAACAAAAGCAGAACAAGCCCAGAGTTCAGACTCAAACACAGAAAAGGTTATTCAAAAAAAGTATTTCAGTTATCTTCACTTCAAGCAACGTTTCACATAACCCCATTACTCATATTCATTCTAGAACTCCCCTACACTTTGTGGAAAGAAAACAGTTAAGCTTTGGTTTATGTTAAGATATATACAGAATACGTTCCGTCAATAGTAAAGGATAAAGATACCAAGAAGCTGAAAAAACAGAATTTACAAGAGAACCAATAGAAAAACGCATATGTATACACTTGTACCTGTTCAAATCCCAAATAATGCAGGTTCCATCTTTGCTGACACTTATCATTATACTGTATGGTTTGCACACAAACAAGCTTGTTATCTCTGCTGTGTGCCCGTACAGATGGACTTGTGACTCCATTTCTATCTCAGAAGGCTGAAAAACATCAAGACAAAACGTGAACTCAGGACTGAAGTGTCAAAGGCTTTCTGAAAATGGACAAGTTTCATTCTTGGATTTCCAGAGATGATTCCCATTGCTTTTAAGGGGATCACTAACATTGCTGTTAGCACTTAGTTTAATACTTTATATGTGATAAGCATACACATCATTAACATTAATGTTCATGTTTTTTGCTTCTAGAGCTGCAGTCTATGCAAATATTTTGACATGGTCCAATGAAGTGAGGTGTGACCTGTGAAAAGGTACTCTACTTTGTCTCAGCTACAGACCTTGAAATTAGCTGATTCGTTTTCTGCAAGACTGTGCTCTTTCTACATGACATAGAAATGACAGATAGTCCTCAATGTTTTAGTTATCTAGAGAATGCACTTGGAAAAGTAGAGGTGGTAGAAGAACAGCTCAGCAAGTAATGCACAGTGTGCATGATAAATTACTGGAAATTCCTCAAGCTGGAAAAATATGCAAGAATTTGCAAGCAAGAAAATATGCAAGGTTCAAAAACCTTGAAATTGCTAGAAAATTGTTAGAGCAGCAAATTGAACACTGAACACAAGTTGTGCACGGTGTTCGATTCCTGTCATTTGAAGCAACTCAGACTTCCCAAAACCTGGCTGCAAATTGACAGAGCTGCTTAATCAGAACAGCAAGACTTTAATAATAAATAAAATAAATACACACCTAAAAATCTCTGTACAGCAACAAAATATATGAAAAGGAAATTCCTCTGCTGTATTTTGTCATATGCAGCAGAATACCTAGTCCCTTGTATTTGTATGAAGGTACAGGACAAATAACAGGTCTATAAACTTGAAAGGAGACAAAAAGGAAAATATCCAGAGACTTTGCTCTTACTTCACAGAAAATTCACATTTTTTGTGCTAAAATAAATGATCTGTGTAGTACTGCAACAGTATCTGAGCAAACAAGATTAATGTTTAATACTTACGACAGATGCCTATCTTAACCAAGTTACAGCAAAGAAAATCTGTCATTTGTCCCTTCCTGCAGTGCATCTTCTCCAGTAAAACATGATAGCATTCACTTGTCATTCTAGAACCAGTGTGGTCCTTTCTTAACACTTACTCATTTTGGAAAAAAGCATACCAAACTTTTTTCATTATATGAGCGACAGTCAAGATGCCCAATTCCCTCATGGACAACTGATTTTGGTATCTTATTGTGTTGCTTCCAACCCTTTTATGTGGTTGCCTGTCACTCATTTCAACATCCGAATCAAAATGAGAAGTCACCTTCAGCAGGTTGTCACTATAGCACTGATTGCAATGGTTCACCGATCCTTTACTTGGTTATTGTAATATAAAATACGGCAACCTTGAATTATAGCACAAGTTACATTCATAACTTAATAAGTCATGCCTAAAATGCCATGTCCGCCCTTCCCAACTTGCTTTTAGATGCTGACTGAAATAGTATCTAGATGTGGAAAAGCATGCATTTATGTATCTTTAAACAGTAGCTCTTTCTAGTGGTTTTACCTAGATGATTAAAGCACTTCAAAGGATAATTTAGATAGTCACTGTGATGTTTTACTCTCAAACAAATTATTTAAATGCTTCTCTTTCTGCTTACAAGCCAATCCTAGCAGTCAAAAAGTAAAAGCTGGGATAAGTCATTTGACAAAACCAGAGACCCTGGGTTGAGTTTTTCAAGGTTTTTTTAAGCTAATAACTAGAGAAAACAGACCATGTGAAGTACAGCAGGGAACTATTTTTGATTTCTGACAGCCTGGCTCTTTGGCTTTGTATCCCATGAACATGCCAGTTTTACTTATGCATTAAATTTATAGAAACATGAATTAGGCCAAAGTGTTCACGTTTCAAGTACTTCATTATAACAGACCGTTTACCATCACCGCACAGCTGACTAGGTGCATACAGAACAGATGCTAGGAAGCACATTTGCATTCCCTATTGCCTCGACTCAGATAACTGACTTAACAGGAGCTACAAAATTGGCAGCAAGGTCAGTCTGCCCAGGGCATGTAAAACTGTCAGTGCTGAGGAGCTCAGCAGAGACGTTTAAAAAAAAAAAAAAATCTGTGCAGCAAGAAAACTCTAAATCAAAAGACTGCTTTTAGGAAACATGAGAGACTTGATCATAAGCTCACATTTCCAGACTTTAACACTGTAGAAAAAAGGAATAGTGAATTTCTATTTTAGTACTTCAAAAAGATTTAACTGAAATCCAAATCTCAATGCATATTATTTACAAAATCACTATTTTTAAACAATCAGTCAGCAATTAAGATACTTTAAGGGCCAAATGGCTTAGGCTTGCAGGGTTAAAATCCTACTTTAGTTTTTAAACCCGAAGCTCCTAAGCTCAGAAAAGCTGAGCCACAGATCATCAAGTTATCACTGCATGTTTGTTCTTCTCAGTCTGAGCATCATTTGCCATTGCAGAAAACAGGAAACAGTGTAGTGGATCGTATCAAAGTTCCCTCTAGTCCAGCCTATTGTAATGGCTAAAGGGTACACAACAGCATAAGCACGTTTGCTGGTGTCCAAGTTAAACTTGAGAAAGCACTTTAGTTGTTGCTGTAGGTAATCCTGTACATTTACCTAAAATGACTACTCAAAATGAGTATTACGAAATTATGAGGAGTAGTAGAGGCTAGTGCTGGAAGAACTCAGAGGCTCTGAGAATCTGAGGCAAAAGTTTCAAGTCTGTTTGTTTTCCTAGCACAGTTATCACATAGCATCAGGGAAGTTTCTGTTAGTACCTCAGCAACATCACTAGACTAAGTGAGACAAGTTGCATCTGTTACTTCCCTCCTCTCTACCTTTCCCCTTGAGGAGTATGGCATATGGTGAAAAGACCTAGTGATTAATATGCATAATCTCTAGCACAGAACTTCTGTATTTGAAGGTGGTATTTCAAGTTTTGTTTACTTTGAAAAAAAGGTGTTCCACAATTTCAATTAAGAGGTTGAAAGGGTCTATGTCCTTTGTAGGAAGGAGCTCCCTTTGTATAGGGAGCTTTATTTTACTAAAGAGCTTCAGCACCAAACCCTAGCCTGAGCACACGGCTGTGTGGTCAGTTCTGTGTGAAAATGACAGCTAAATAAATGCTAGTTGTATGGGAAAAAAATAAGACTTCTACCTAAGTATAGATGCTGAGGTAAACCTAGCAATAACAGAGAGCATCATTCAGAAAAAAATACTAAACAAGGACTTCATCTTTTAAAGAAAAGCTATGAATACAAATTGCTTTCCTCTTTCCCTGTCAAAAACAGAACAAAAATAGTGAACATTTCTAAATCCTTAAATATAAATTCTGAAGATACTTACTGTATTACTTGTGAATCTGTTCATATATGCTGTGATGACACCAGATTTACTGCCTGTAAAAAGCTGGCAACTGTCTGGCACCCATGCACAACTTGTTACCTTGAAAAAGAACAAAAAGCCAGAAAAGAAGAGTTAAAATGGAAGCTCTTTAACTGCTGTTTTTCATTATGGTATAACATTTGGTCATGTTGCTTTTCACTGATTATCCTAAGAAAACCCATTAAAATACCTAAGCTAAAAAAGAAATCCAAGACCTGCTGTAAGTCACACTTGCTATAATTTCAGAATCAGAGAGGGAAGTTCTTTGCAATCCAGAACCTGCAGCCAAAGGTGGATTGGGGATGAATTGCTGCAGACTAACTCTAATCCTACAGCCACACTGCAAGCCAGAATCTTTTTAGTAGACAAGTTAACCAGCCACTTCACATAGTAAAGGCAGAAGGTTCTCTAGCAGCTTAAGCAATCTCTTTCAAAAGAGGCCTAACCTTTCATGTAGTTCTGCATCTAGCAAAACATCCATAATTTTTCCATTTTATTCTTTACTCCCTAGATTTTTAAAGACTACTCTTCCCCTCCCTTTTTTTAGATTAATCTTAAAAACTAAGATTACTGCTTAGTTTTTATAGATGCACACCATTTTTTTCCACAGGAGGGAAAGCTACCAAAAAACCCCAAAACAAACAGCCCACATAAATGCATTTAAAAGGGAGCTTTGTTTAACATAATAACACACTCCAGAGGAATCATTGTGATATGAGGGACACATTCCAAATGAAGAGAGTAAAGCAGAATATCGGGTCATCTAGTACATTAAATCTAAAGTTGTCTTTGGATTCTCATCCCTCAAAATAAGATTTGCTGGCCACAAGCCTCGCAAGAATGAAAACAAAAATTACTACTACCAAATCAGTTCACCATATGATTAAACTAGCAATATTAAATTGAAAACTAAAAGACTAAGATTCTTACCTGATGGAATTGAGAGCTCTGTATGAAGTTTACTGGAGGCTCACTTTGCTTGCTCTTCAGTCTTAAAATGTTATCAGCGTATCCCCAGCTCAAGATCGCTGACCACTGAATATCCGTGCTGTGCATGCTCCTCACGCCTGAGGAAAGGCATAAAAAAACTGTCACATGACAGCAGCTGTGTCACTGACAGGGAGAATTCCAAGTGACATTTTCTGTTAGGCTGTGGTTCCAAACCAGTAGTAGGTAGGTGCCAAAAACAAGTAGAGATTTCAATGGTCTCTAAAACGCTATCTCTGAATGTTTATACAATTCATAATATGGACAACAAAATGTTGCATCTTGAGGGAGAGGAAAAAGAGGAAGAGGTTGACAATACTTTATCAGCTAGAGAGGTGATTATTCATAATTTCTGAAGGAGATTAATTTATTTTTGAGAACTAGAAGTGAAGCCTTCAATGGAACAGTTAGCTTTAAGTCACCTTTAAGTTAGCTTTAAGTAGGCAAATTGAAACTGCTGGCACTATAAGCTATTTTAAAGAAAAATTACTTAAAACTTAATTACTGGATGCCTCTAATCTTCAAAAATCAAATCCACTCATCCAGGAAAGATACTACACATTTAAGACTTGTTCACAGTTGTTGGCTAAACAGAATAAATCTGGGGGAGTTGTTGGAGAATAACAGTAGGATTAGATTTACATTTTTTATGGCTAACTTTTCAGGGGAATAGAAAGCAAAGAAACTCATACCTTGCTCCTTGCTATATATCATCAACAGGCAAAACTTGCGGGACAAAGCACAGACAGCTTTGGTTGGCAAGGCCTGAAGAGATCCAAATCTTTCTCCATTTGGTTGGCTAAAGCATACAACAGGATCTGGAGCACTCGGAGAACCAACATATTCTCCCCACTTCAAGCCTTTTATCCATGGCAATGGACTCTGAAACAAACACAAAATAACATTCACATTAAAAGCAGGTAAAAGCTTTTCATTAGGCCAAATTATTCATATTAATTCTCAAAAACGTTCAGGTAAGGATTACTCAAGTACTGAAACATAAGGAAAACAGGCAAAACACTTCGCAGTATAATCAGCTAAACTTAATTTTTAAGTGAGTTCTCATTTATCTAAGGGCTGTGATAGAAAGCTAACAGTGTAGGTAATGCAGCAATAAGTTCTGATTTCTCCATATCCAAGAATTCTGTTTCTCACTTTAGGAGAACTTTAGGAGAAATCAAAAAGTCTGAGGTAAATAAAGTGGAACTGTCCTACAGACACTGATGTTGGTGTAAGCAATCAAACATAGAACATAGAATTCATCATCAAAAGCATAAAACCAGCCAAGTGAAGAGCTCTCCAGATCTTCCTTTAAACAAGATGAATTCAGATCTACTTTATGGCATCCAATATATCAAAAATACATAAAAAATTTTCATTAGCGCTTCACTAATTTCATATTTTCTTCATAGTACAGCTTTGTCGGTAAGTTGCAGTTGAAGGAACATTCACTGAAATGTTCTAGCAATTACAACAGCAAATCAGGTGAACTACTGATTTAGGTATTAGAGTTCCTAGGTTCTCTGGGTCACCAGCACCTTCAGGGATCCGGAAATACTAGGTACTTTTTATTAGATCCGAGAAATTAGGAGATTAATCTTGATTGAGACATTTATATATATATATATATATGTGTGTGTGTGTGTGTGTGTGTGTATAGACACACACTCTAAGCTAGAACTAAAGATACTAGAGGCATTTTGTTCAACTGAATGAGAAAATATCCACATCTTAGTAGATGTGCCTGTAAATCAGATTACTCATTTTCTATCATTTGTTCCAGTTTAGTGGTAAGAATGCTGGTGAGGATGTACTGAAAGCACTAAACTTAATACTTAGGGCCTCACATACAAATCCTCATGTGTCAGGTAAATTATAGACTATTATGAGAAAGTCTATTCTTCTGTAGACAGCTTTTGCAAGAGCAGGAAGCAGAACCTCTGAAACCCCATCTGTGGTAACACACTTTGTATAACCATTCCCCAAAAAGAGTATAAATCTGTGGAGACAGTTATACATAAGTCTCCTGGGTGCTGGGGTAAGGAAGGTAAGCAGGGAGAAGGGGCAAAAACACATTTCTCTCTTGCTGGAGTAAGAGGAAGGGAGCAATGAGCCAGTCTTGTCCCCCTGTGCTAAGGACAAACAGTCTGCTAGACAGTTCCTTTAAGAAGTTCACACTCTCCAGGTAATGGGGAAAACAGTTTGGAACAAAAGAGGACACAATTCCAGTTTTAAAAAAAAAAAAAAAAGGATAGATGGTATTTTCAGTTATTCAGAGGTAAACATAAACAACAATCACAGTATGTGAATATTAACTGAACTATCTTGTGAAGCAGAATGACATGACATACCGGATATACTATTTCTTTAGTATGCTCTCTCGTTTCTCTAAAAGCAAACTGCACTAATAATCCCATGGCAGCAGGAAGTTCTCCTTCTATGATGAGCCTGGATCCAGGCCTGCTAACATGTGCTGCATGGAACAGCTGGCGAGGCGTTTGTCCATATGTTTTTATCATTGTTTCAAGAGCTCTTCTCTGAACAGGATCTTCAACAGCAGAAACATCCATCCCAAAATATGTCTAGACAGCAGAGGGGAAAGAAGAGTAAGCTTTAGAAATTCATTTTTGAGAAAGATTTCTCAACATACACATACAAGTTTGGAGCAAGACTTTTTTTGTTGTTAAGGCTTGCCAGAAGCCATCCAGCAATGGCTACCAATTAAAGAGCAACTGAAAACAGTAAACTTTCCTTAGCTGCTCCAACATGTATTTCTTGAGTAAGTTCTATCACAGATTTTTTTTAGTATACCTTTAGCTTGTACAAAAAGCTTGCTTCTGATAAAGTTTTTCTGTAAATCCTTTTTTATTACTATATTAAGACTTGAGCTTGGAGGAAGGAGAAGTAAAACCTTCCCTATTTCAGGAATTAAAATTCTTTTCTTTCTCCCTTCTCATACTGAAAGCTAACTACACTTCTCTAACTGTATACCACATCCTTCTCAGTCACACTGACAAGGCCTTGACTTTCCACTTCAAAAAACTGTGAACACATTCTCAATAACTTAATATTTGAAGTACCAGATACTAATCTAATAAATACTTACAAGTGGGTGGGGAAGGAAAGGAAGACAGTTCGGTGACTATTTGAAAAGAAAAAAGCCACCACTATCAAACATCACTCCCATTAGCTTGCTAATACACAGAGCTTGCTACAGGAAACATATGCTTTTGAAAATAAGACTGCCTGGCTGAGCAGATCATGTGATACTAAGGATTTAGTTTATTAAATAATATAATCCAAGATCTGAAATGCTACAGTTATGTAAGGAGTGACGTTCTGGAAAATCTTTACATTGAAGAACTACTTCCCTAATCTTAAATTAAGTTTACTGAAAAAGAAAATTCTTACTAGCTGGACAGAACATAGACAGGTAAATAGAACGAATTAATACAAATATTGAATTTAAACTGAACTATTTGACATTATCAGAAACTGTAGCAGAACCTTCCCAAATGAAACTGTTTTTGAATGAGGAAGCAGCAGCTATATGGACATAGGGGTGTATAGAGACACATACACATACAAAGTTCTTACACACAATCACAAAAAAGCTAGCTATTCTGAAAGCAGAAACAAAAAGCACACAACCCCAATAATGCAGCACAGTTATACCTTGCCTAGACAGGCAAGAAAGATTAATGCAGATTCACCGAGTAGACCACCAGTAATGCCCTGAAGTGTTTAAAGCCTTTCCTTACTCCTCAGTACTTCTGGAGCAAGGGAACTGCACTATGCTGAATATGTTCCAAGTTAATCAGGCTGCGCTTCTTCCACCATTAAGCTACCATATACAATGAACAAACGTGCTCTTCGACAAGTACTTACTGCAGGATGAAAGACATTAATAGCCTGAACAGAGGCCTTGCCTTTCTGCTTATAACCAAACACCAAGTCGATCCAGTGACAGATTGTCTGGGAAACATGGTCAGACTCCAAAGCCTGACGATGAATCAAGATGAAGAGACGAGGATCATTGCGAGCCCAAGGTGGAAGGTTGACATGGTTAACTCTGTCACCATTCTGACGCACTCCAAAATCAAAACCTAGAAACAGGGGAATAAGCACTTCAACATTTTGGTTTACAGTGACTTCTGAAAGGTCTTTATAGGGTTCTATGAATGCTAACAATTAGTCTCAGTGGTTACTTAAGCAAAGTAGTTCTGTTAACAAGTCACACGCGCACACACGCACACACACACACACTTGCACATTCATTAAAACACAGAATCACCCACATAGCAAGTTTTCACAAAAATATCTGAAGCCCTACATAACAGCTTTTGCAGCATAACCCCGAAATTAATGCCAGATATTTCCCCACACATCTATTGCCAAGCCAATTCAATCAAGGGACATAAATGTTCTCAGTTTCAACCCATGTTCTGAGTGCTAAGGCTGTTTTTGTTATGCAGTTTTGGTATCCTCTTAGTATACCTTCTCTGTTAACTAGAAAGTCTGGAAGGTAGAAAAATTCTGGGATAAGCTCCTTTACGTCAGTCATTGATTCATAGGAAGAGAGGCGCCAGGTTGTGTTGGTGGAATGAAAAGTTCTGTCTGGGATGTCAAAACTTTGATCTGTAAAGAAATCCAAACTGAATTTGTTACATTGATGACAGACACGGTACCAGTTGCACATCTGCAACTTCAAGAAATTAACTGCTCACCAGTTATCTGAGAACATTTAGAATTCTTTTATTTCAATTACTGGATGTTACACAAACTGAAACTTAAATAAAGGTCAGTTCCTAAATATACACTGCAATGTACAGGCTTATGCCTTAGCTTGACAATTTCAGAGTGTGTCCATTGTGAAAACACACTCAGCAATTTGCATCTGATAAACTATTCTGAAACAAAGCAAGGCAGGGCTTTCCTGGGTCACTGAAACTAGATCCAGATATGAAAGGCAAGTGCAAACAAAAGCAAGCTCACCTTGATAGGCCAAAAACATTTTAGTGAAAGGTGGCAGCCTAACCAGGAAATGAAGCACAGTTCCACTGTTGGAATAATGAGATCCATAGTGATAAGGCTGTACAGGGGGCATTGGATCATCTTCTCTTGCGCCTTTACGGTATTCCTCTTCCAGATACTATAAAAACAGTAGAAGAAACATTTCCAATCTATTTAGATTTCAACACAGAGGACACCTTGGTTATCAGGCCCAAATGCTCCGATCACTTACATGATGTTTCAACACTTCCGCTTTTCAGAAACTGAGCTATACTCAAGACTATCACATCTTTATTTAAATAAGGTTCCCACCTTCCAAGTCTGCTACAAGATACAACTTTCTGAAGCACCTATCCAATTCTGCCACCTAAAATATGCCATTCAAATACTATTCTGGCAACTGCTCTGAAAGCCCATTTACACTATTAAACATGCTCTTCTAACAAAAAAAAAATCTAAAAAATCCCATTTGAAGCTCAATTGAGTTTTGCATGCATTCAGCTAGACTGCCAACTTATATCACAGAACAGAAAGTTTGACACTTTAAGTTGACATCAGAGAAATAAGAGAAAATCCTAGTCTCTCCATGCCAGCAACAATGAAAGTAAGACCTTGCCTAAACTGTTTAGGAATAAAATTGATCTTTCAAGGAAGATAAGTTCAAAAGTGATTCAGCATCAAATATTAGGAAGTGGTCACTCAGTCCTTTGAGACTTTAAGCTAGGCATCTAAGCATGCTTCAAGTGAATTCAAATGATCATCTTTGCAGTTGTTATTACTTTTGCATTATTTTTCTTGCTTTCTATCACTAATGAGTCACTACGCAGGCTTTCAATACTAAATGGAGGAAATGCTTTCTTTAATATGTATTTCTTGCCTCTGAGGAGAAATCTGGAGGCCATAATATAGATGCAAATTTGAATGCCGAATTAGATACTTTCCAGCCCCAATATGTCATTTCTTACAGGAACAGGTAAAAATTATCAGAAAACATAATGCACTGGAAAACAGAATTCCACAGATTGTAAATACTGGATTTGTTTTTTTTTTTATTAAGCAAAGTTAAACAACAAAGCGCCCCCCCCCCCTTTTTTTTTTTTTAAATATACAACACAGGGCAGGGCATAGTAAGAAACATACACACACAGCAGAAAAATACTAAATCCAGAATTATCTTAATTACCTTGTAAGTATCCACATAACGATCTTCCTTTTCCTTAGACTGCACAGCTATGGGCTTGACCAGATTTCTGTAATGTAAAAAGTACTGATATCTTGTCATTTTTCTAATGATGTGGATGCACACCATTTAATAAAGCATTACCTAGAAAAATGGCTTTTGTAACATGGACAGACAACAGCAAAATTGAAAAGTAGTACTTCATGAAAGAGTTTATGAAAGAGTAAAGGCCACATTCAGTTAGTGCTAAAAGCAAACTCAGATCCACACGCTACCCGCAGCAAAAGTAACAGACAAGCCAGTGCACTCAAAGAGCTTCTTTTTCAAATCGGGGGCACCACTTAAAAATAGAGACTTTGTGCCACCATGGTTAAATTGCCTTAAGGATTTATTAGGATGGGACAGCTTACTTAGCACTATTTACAGTCAAGGCAATACGTAACTGGCAAAATTATTTACTATGTTATTTCTACTCCTATTTAGTTTTCATTAATTTGCTTAGAACTCTTTAGTCATGAATTTAACCACGTGGCCACTATTTAAGTCAGTATACTATGTTTATCATGATGTTCAAGATGGTGGACAACAAGCCAAACCCAAAACATCCTGTGACATTCTCATTTCTTGTCATTTCATTTAAATGGGTAAAGCACAGACTCATTGCAGAAAACCCTAAAGATGAGGCTCAGTCCTCAGTAGTTGCATTCGCCTGTGTGCACCATTTAGTACAACAAAATTAAATAGCTATACTGAAACAACCACTTCAATTATATAGAAATAACCAGTTCCAAATTTTTCATATTACCTATATACTGATGGATCATTTAGGTCCAGTGTTTCATTGGTGTAGTCAGAAAGTATAAAGGGAAATACTGGATACTGCATAAGATCATTGAAGGAGCGGCCCGCATGTTTGTTTAAATGAGTCAGGTATTCAAAGTTAGTAATCTGTCCTGTGCACCAGAGGTGGGTCAAAGCAGTAATGTTTCCGTATTCCAAAAGGTTAGGCAAATTGTTAGTTAAGATGTTGTGGTACACATCATCACGGACCTAAAAGAAAATACCACAGATTTAATCATAACTTAAAAAGCTTTTAAGTTAAGTTTTTCCTCATTTACAAATTTTCAGAGATCTCCTGTAATGAAGCAATGCTCAGTATTACTAAGTTTTTCAGTTATCTTAATGCATCTGAGATGAATTTTTCAATGGAATTGCATTTGTCTAGAGACCTGGCTGAGCACAGTTGTCAATGGTATTAAGCAGAATTCAATATTAGTCCATGCAACAAATCTCCTTAAAAACTAATACATGAACATATATTATGAAGAAATAGCAAAGTGTTTTCATTATTATGCAATCAATGCACATTACCTTTGTGTTATCAAAAGCCAAGAGTAAGGTTCTGCCGTTTGTTAAAAATATTTCCACAGCATTGTCTCTTAGCTGCCACCATCTCTTATGAACTTCCTTAATTTCCTCATAGGTCCAAGAAAAGGATGCTGGTTCAGTTTCTCCATGAAAACTCTAAGAAATGCACAATTCAAAAGAATATTTCAGCAGCAACTTTTCTACACAGGAAACCCCTCCTCAACAGGACCAGCTTATAGGTATATAGCATATATTAAGGCAGACTTGGATAATTTTTCTGTAATGCTTTAAGGTATTACTGTGACCTTCTTTGTATGGAGAGAGGTTGTGGAGTCTCCTTCTCTGGAGATCTTCCAGACCTGCCTGGACACCAGAGGAGTTGAACTAGAGGATCTCTAGGGGTCCCTTCCAACCTTAACCATTCTGTGATTCTCCAATCAGTTACGGTTCCAGTTTTCCTTATAAAACAGCTCTCACCACAAGTTAAGAGGGGAGTTTACAGCTTTCAAAATAATGGAAAATCCAGGTAACAGTGATCCTGCAGAGTACAGCAGAATTTATGTATTTGAGAGTCTCTGCACTGTACTTCTTAGTGCCCAAGCTCCCAGGAAGGCTATTTCAGATACCACCAACCTGAGCGAGTTCTAGGCATTTTCTATTACACTCCATCCAAGCTGAACTCTGGAGGGATTGACAACTATGTCGAGAAGACTCCCAAAATCACCCGCTCCTCCCCCCTTCCCAGCCCACTTGGCTGAATCTTCCCATCTTGTTTCTGTGCATGCAGCTGTCACCGACTCCACAGCCAGTCTAACAGTGGCAACATTAAACCCAAACTCATCAGCTTGGCTGACCATGTCCAGAGATCTCTACCCAGTGCTATGACAATCTTAGGAGTAGAGAACAGCAAGGCCCTGGAAGAGCTCAGCCTGCACAGCATACTCACAGGATTCTCCATAGTGTCCGAGGCATTGTCCTCAACAAAATACATGCCACACTTTCCTAAGGGGAAAAAAGTGGCAGAGCTGTATGAGGTTGTTTGCATATTGCATCTTAACTTTACACAAGCATTCACTGTTGAGGTTTTAAGAGTTGTATGAGCAGTAGGTAGACAAGGCTGTACTTGAGAGAAATACCACTTTAGACTACATTTTTAACTTTCAACCTAACTATAGGCCAAAGAGAACACATGCAAACAACAGAAAAAGGGAGAAGTTAGCTGAAGGATATCATTCCTGATAAGTCAGTAAGTATTTAGCAGTAACTTTCCTCCCAACATGTCCTTGACAATTAAGTTATCTTTTGGGAAAAAAAGAAGGAAAACATCTACAGACAGACAAGTTTGGTGCAGAAGAGAGAGTTGTGAAGACTGAAAATTCTACTTACCTAGCAACAGTTCACCAGCAGTTTCTCTAGAAGGTGCCACACTGATACATCTTCGATTAACTCTGAAATATATTTAAGTTGTGTTGCTTGCCGGTTCATGTATTATTTCCACACTTAGCTAAAACTATCCATCTCCAAGACAAACCTCAGAACACCATAAGCTTAAGAGTTCAAATTCAAAAAGGGGAAGGGAAATAGATCCTCAGTCTTCTAAACTTTCACACAAGTGTACTTATATTTAATCTATTGCCATGTTCTCTGCTGCTATTTTAGGGAAAGTTAGATGGTCAATTGATATAACTGGTGTGTCAAGTTTAGCATAATTTATAAAAAGCCTGAAGGATGAAGGTATTAATTTGCTTTTGACCAGACCATGTTGCAATGCATGTCTTGCATACAAGTGACAAGTAACAAAACACCACCAGATTATCCCACAGAAGGCCCTTCCCATATCACACCAGATAGTTGCTTCTACTGGTTTTGAAGATACGCAGATACTGTATAAGAGTCAGAAAACCCACACCGTTGTAAACTAAACCTTTCCTGTGAATGTTGTAAATAAAACCTCAGTGTTTAACATCTGTCTCCTTTATCTCACTCTTAAAATGCTTAAAGAAAAAGGTTACACCAACAAGGACTTCTCTTTTCAAACAGGGAAAGCAGAAGGGAGGTTGATCTTACCCAAAGCCTACCTTATATGCTCACTTGCTGCTTTGTCCTTTACAGTAGACGAGTGAGAAGAATATGTTTTGTCTTCAAACAGGTAAGACAAGGGAGGTTTGATCATGCCTGTTAAGAGGGGAAAAAAAGAAAGAACAAACACTTAAATATTAAGAAACTCTTATTCATGAAAACTCTTGCAAGACTTAGGAATAATAATCTTGCTATAGTTACCTTCCTGCTTCTGCCTATCTGGGAGAAGGTACTTATTTGGTATAGTTAAATAGCACCTCTGCAATCGTCGCCTCTCTCTATTTGGGCCCTCTGTTGGATCCAATTGCCAAGAAGTTGGGTAATACACTGGGTCATACCAGAGTGCTCTGAAAAAAAAAATCATGTTAAATTTGACAACAGAGACAGTATATATGCTTACTTATTTCATTTTTCTTTAAATGGTAGAAAGGCAGAAGTTCCACACTACTACACTGGGCAATTATTTTTGAGGAAAAACAAACCAACACACAGCTCATACCTGAATTCTGCAGTCCTTTACCTTCATGAACTATCCCACTGACCAAGTACTTACGAACTACTTTACTGTAAGACTCAAGTTGCTAACTCCTATGAAGACAGAAATGCAAGGTATCCAATACAATAGTAAGGTATATCAGCTGCTCAAAGATGACCTAATGCTCAACTATTGTAAATGTGACTTATATGCAAGCTCCACAGTGGCAAAACTACTCTCTAGTTCCTGGTCAATTTTTTTTTTGATGACATTTATCATCTTTTGCATTATGCAGAAATGCAGTGAACCTATGATTTCCAAGGCAATATTACAGTGAATGACATCGGAAAAAAGTAGTAATTCAGTGTAGTGCAAGATATTAAATCTCTTATGCTATGCACTTCATTCTGTTATGTGCATTAAGACAAAAGCCTTTAACAAAAGTATTTGTCTAAAAGACAGAAAAAACACTTGGCTGCCCATCTGAAAAATCAGAGAATAAATTAAATATTTTACCTGTTGAGCAGTCTGATGATTAGCAAAAGTCACTCTAATTTTAATATCATCTACATTTCAAGTGCTTCTAACTTGAAAGATAAGCACGCATTGTGCTGCAGGACAGGTCTACAATGAATAACTTACCGATCATGGGTAAGCTGCTGAACAAGTTCCTGCCAGTGTCTGCTGGCACTCAGCTCTGCCTTATACATCCCCCTGATGTGCTGGATCACTTTCTTCCTTTCCATTCCTTGGGACAGTGAAACAGCCTGTGTGATGTCTCCAGCTATTTTGGAAATATCTTTTGATTTTGTATCCAGACGTTGAAAGAGACTGGGGAGATGGGAGGGGGGAGAGAAAGGAGAAAGCTGCATTTTACAATGCCAAGTCAGCATACTGAAACAGGTAGGGAAGCCACCCCAAAATCCTTAAAGTTCCACCAATTTGGTGGTAGATCTCCAGAGCACTTGTTACAGCAAATTCACAGCAACTTGATCTACATTCACATTCATGATATTCCAAAAAACCCAAACTATTAACCGCAACTATCAAAGAAATGTCAGCATGATCGAAAGATTGATGATGAAACATTAGTACTTAATAATTAATGTACACACTTTACATTAAAGCTCTGAAGAACAGTAATTTAGTACTGCTCAAATTTAAGCTATTCAAAATAGTAAAGTCAAAATGACCATACCTTCAATCAAGATATTTTAATAATGGTATAATAAATATCTGAAAGCTAAAAACTGCTGTGATGTGAAAGAAGTGTTTAAGACTCACACAGCCAACTTTGCAGTGAGATACGCTGAACATGCTTTCAAAGTTCCTTTAAGCACCTTTAAGAAGGCACTTACTTTTGCTGATTATTGGCCATAGTCTTCTCCCAAGCAGCTTTGTTCACACCCTCTTCCATCTCATATTTCTTCTGATCCTTAAAAAAAAAGAAAGTTAAGCTGGAAGAAAGCAGAGGCTAAAGGCTACAGAAATTATAAAATAAGTGAAAAAACTATCATCCGCCAATATCATTTCAGTTACTCTAATACATTTTGATGCCACTTTATATTTTTTTGCAAGAAGCCATTAAAGTTTTTGTTCTGTCAATAAAAGTTACTGAAAAACTTATTCTGAACTATCAACTTGGCTTTGGTAAAGTCATGTATTTAAGAGCATTAACACTTGAGCTTGCTGCAAAGTGTTAAGCATGCTTAACATTTTGAACCCCAAAAGAACTGCAAAAAGCATGAGCTATGCTCAAGTTCAAACACAGCTACTGTCTCGGGGAGGGGTGGCAGCAAGGGGGATGTCGTTCCCCATATACAAGATACAATTGTCTGAAGCATATCTGATTTCTGAAGCAACATTTTTATTCACAAACCTCTTTCAAAGCTTTCATTAGATCTGGTTTTGGTGGTGGGCTGAGCGGGATGCACTTGTAGCCACAACTTTTTAACACATTCATAAAATCTCCTGCTGCTCTTTGTTCTTCTTTGTTCATTTCATCACTGTGATTATACATTAAGTCATATAAATAGAGTACTAATTTAGGTCCATGCTAGAAGGTGAACAGAAGGAAAAAGAAGAAAAAGTCTAGTCATTCATTTCTGCAATACAATACTGAGCATTCCCACACTCCTCACCCCCTTCCAAATCTTTAATGTCTTTTCTAGCCAGCCTGGACACGTTTCTTTCTTTAAATGGCAGAAAAAAATAGAAATAGATGCTCTGAAGTCTCAAGATAAACTTGTCTAAAACTAGAAGAGAGAGCCTGCCGAATTTAATCCTCCACACGATAAAAATTTTGTGGCCTATGGCAACATTAAGTTTCCTTGTCAAATCCATTAACTCAGCTCCTTCTACAACTTGGCTTACACTTCAGGAAATATATGCTATAGGACCTGAATTTTGCCTACTTAAAATATTTGTCCCTTTTTCACTTAACCAAACTTGCTTTGAGCGATATTAATAAAGGTAAGTAGACATGGTGACAAGGACACTCAATATGACACTCCTAAAAAGCCATTGCTGTGTATCTGTTTTTTCCTTACCAGTGAAACTGTCACTAGCTGAGATGCATATGTGATCAGAAATGTAGGAGGGTCATAGTATCAGCTAATAAGAAGTACTTTCACTCTTCACTGTATAGACTGTGGTCAGACTGTGGCACAGCTTAGCTATTTTATATCAAAAAATCTTCCATCTCCTGAAGAACTCCAGCAGCAACATTCCCACCCAATTCCTGCTCATAAACAATCTAAAAAATGCCTTCTCAAGCCGACACAGGAATTGACACTGCACAACCAAGAATGCTTTTTCTGACAAACCCAGAAATGCAAGGGCCATCCCTCAGGCCAATTTTAACCAGAGACAGTTCTAAATAACTTCAGAATTTAAACCAGGATTTTTGAGTACAAGTTCTGTGGGCTTCTTTCAACCACTGAGCTTACTTGCAAATTTGGGCTAAGACAATCCCGTATAATCTCTTGATTATTTGCTTCATGCATCATCTCCAAAGCCTGCTTTCTTTCTTGCAGTGGCCTTGCTGGAGACAAGGTGTGCACAAGAAGTCTCCCAAGTTGCGCACGAAACGTGTCCTTGCATGAGAACAGGATTCTCTTCCACTGCTGCTTGGGTGCATTCATTCTGCTGCTGCCCTAAAGAAATAAAACACTTCTCCCTCTTATCAAAAGGCTTAGTTTTCACATAAAACTCAGTTAATATGATAAAAACAGAAAGCAATAAGTACTCTTCTCTAGAGCATTTGAATTTAATTTACAGACTGATACTACAGATTAAAAGATGTTTAAATGATGAAAGAATAATAAGATTTTTCCACCTTGTTTTGTGGTTATTAGAAACGCAGGTCTTAGGTAAAATAAATATTCAGTTAATTAGATGAACCATTCAACAACAGCAAGAGAAAAATAAAAGTGAAAACTGTGAAGCAGAATTAAAGGTTTTTATTATTATTTCTTTCGTTTTGAACAGTCCTTTTCCCCTTAATCACTAGTTTGAGTATTGGATTATCTCAAAGGATCAGAAACCAGGTTTTTAATCCAGATGCTGGGACTCAAAAGGAAGCCTGCAGCCTTTTGAAAATACTAAAAAACAATAACGTTAGAAAGACCTCACAAATTTTAACAAAAATTAGGTTGAACCTTTTCTTATAGAAACTTAAAAGCAAAGAGGCAGAATGGAGCAGTAAATTATTATTTCCAGTAAATCCATTCTGAATGACTCATGAGGAACCTTATGAGCTTGGAGATGTTGATAGGCTATCAGCTGTATGCTGAAAAAACCAACAATGGTGGTGGAGGGGAGAAAACTGCCTTCTGTCCCCCAACTATATGACCAATTCTAAAACATTACTGGTATACAAATTGCTCAGATAAACAAGCCTCTTATCCATCACCTATAGATGCATAGCAGAATTCAAAATTTAAAGGGAAAAGGGATTCTTTTATAGTCTACACAACAAATAGTTAACTTTTGTGTGCTCACTCAAGCAGCAGCATTTTACCAACTGTTATACTAAAAATTCAGAGCACTTTTTTTTTTTTTCCTCTCCAAACTGCAGAATAACTGGGAAACTGAACAGAGTTTTCAGTAACATGCTGGCTGACTTGAAAGGCTTGTTCCCATGAACAGGAAACCTATGTAAAAAAAGTCCCAATAAATGAACCTTAAGTAGTATATTGTAATATGGACACCGAATTAGTTACTCACAACAGATGCTTTGATCCCTTCTACCAACATTTTGAAGGTTTCTTTCAGAAAAGGATTTATTCCTCTAGGCAGTTCTTGCTGGCTTTCCTCTTCTGAAACTTCCAGTCGGGATGCTGAAAGTCTGCTTTGGCTTGTGGCTTCTGTTATACCCAATATATCAAGGCATTCCTCGGTAGATGCTAAAAATTGAAGAGGCATAAATAGATCAGTAATCTCTACGAAGATCTTCCAATATTGTCTTGGTTGCCAGTAAAAGGAATATTGCCTTTATGACCATACCTAAAAAAACACCCCCAAACCAACCTAATTTAGTACTTATTTTAATTCCTCTACAAACCAGTTCATTGAGAATTACACTTCACATTCATTGTGGAGCAGTTCAAGTTTGCTGCACACGCTCAGCTTTCTGTTGCTTCTTTAGAATTTGAACTAGCCTCCAGACATCAAGTCTTGCTAATAATTCTATCCACTTCCCAGAAAGAGGTAAACTAATGTATTTGAAGAGACAGAAAACACTCTCTTTGTCAGAGCTACATCTTCATTTCATAATTCAGGCAGTTAAATGAACTGAGTAACTTGGAGTAAAAATAGCTTGTTCAGTTCATTCAGATAAACTGACAATCCAATTTGGATACAGTCATGTAATGCTAAGAGACAAAAATTACAAATACATGTTTTAATGTTAACTCCATTAAGCTAGCTACCATTACTTTTCTCTTAAACACTGCAAAAACAAGAATCCATTTTTTATGTAGAGTTCCATTAGACCTGTCAAAGCAGCAGGGTACAAAGAAATGCTACCTGAGTAAATGAGTCTGTTAACAGCCAGAACAGTGAGTCTCTGCAACCTTTGCACAAACTCAGTCTCAGAGGCTCGGACAGGATTTTCTTGGCTCATTCTCCGCTGCATCATCATGTTGAATTCTTCACTTGCTACTGAACGCATTTTCATCAGCAGAGCATCAGACTGAGCAAGGGAAAATTTCCTGGAAACTTTAAGCAGAGATGCATTAACAACATCTTACTGAAAAAGCACTCATTTTAGAAAAGAAAATGTTTGAGATATACTAGCATAAAAGGGAACATAAATGTCTTGAAGAGCAGAATAGGATATTTTCCATTTAAAATTTAAAGGTCAAATTTATAAAATTTTAAAAAGTGTTACTACAAAAGGAGTTGCTCTCAAGTTTAGATTTGTTGTGCAACTTCATATTTTTGTATAAAACTGATTTCAAAAGGTCGCTTTTATTTATTGCCCACTTATATTATGCAGTTATAGCAAAGGTTAGAATAACCAGTGTTGTTTTTTTCCCCAGATGAGAAAGTAGTTTGACCAATACAAATTCAAAGTCAATACAAATACAAAGTCATTTATATTAACAGCTTATAAGCAAACACATCTTATATTGTACCCATTGTCACTAATTTTGATAGAAGCATTATTCATAACATAATCCTGCACAAATATTTGAGAAGGGGGCAGGGATTAATGCTTTCTTGCAATGAACCAGTGGGCCTTGACTGCACTCTCTTCTTTAAGAGGTAATTGCATTTATTTTCATGTATATGCACAAACACACACAGATCCAGCAGGGCACTATATTTAAGAGGCTGCTGGAAGCACAAACACACACAGATCCAGCAGGGCTGCTGGACGTTGTCTCATGAGATGGCTATATAAATAAAAAGGCTGCTGGTATGGACAAGGAATAACAAAATCTTTTATTGCAGGTTAGGTTAAGAAAAACAACAACAAATCAGAAAAAAAGAGACTTCAATTATGCCTCTTACAGAGTCTTAAATGCAGCTTCACTTATACAAGAGTTACACAAAACCCATTTCCATTAAGAAGACTCCAAAGGCTTCACAAGCCAAACATTACTGCCAGAACTAGAGTAGCACAGATTTTTTTAATAAGCAAAGAACCATAACAGAATCCACAGGCCCCACTATACTCGTTTGGAGCACCAGGTATTCCCTTCAGGATGATGCCAATCGAAAGCTGTGCAACAATAAAAATCACACATGATCACTGAGCTAGTTATATAAGATATCTTGATTCTGACATTTTTTACTACAGTTAAATTGCACATTGATGTGCTTTTCTTAAAAAGCAAAGAAATGGTGTTTTTAGCTTCAGCAACTGCATTGAGTGTATCCCCATTCTAGCCTACCAATGAAAACCACCCTTGAATTCAAAACGGGTAAAAATTGTGTTATGCCAAGACTTGGATTGATTTACAAATCCGTAAAAAGGACTATTATATCATTGACATCAGAATTAAAAAGCAGATTAATAACATACAGAAGAGTTGACAAGCGTGCCACACTTTCGCCACTCACCAGTGATGCCTTTCCGCTTCTGAAACATCGTGTGATGAGGTGCAGCTGATGGGACAGAACTGGCCTGCTCCTGAGAATCCTGGTTTGCCGTCGTTTTTATTAATTCAATGGCTGCCTGAAGAACTCTCAGTTGCAGAACAACAGCCATATCTAGATAAAGGTATGAACAAAGGGCTCATAACATGCTCTCTTTACTAGTTTACATTAAAATTATCCCAACAGCAGTAATTTTTCTTTTTTTTAAATTTGGGAATTATGCTACACGTGTATCTCATCTGAACATTAATCCAAGTCTTTACAATATGTCTTTAAGAATTTTTAAGATGACTGTATAAAAAGAAGGGCAATTCCAGAACTGTACAATTCTTGACTGCAGGAAAGTAGCCACCTCACTATTACACGGAGAGATACAGAATGGAAGTTCTCATGGAAAAGCCATAAGATTTGTCCATCTTCAATAAGGCAGAGAACATTTCCATTTGAACACTCTGAATGGACTTTTACCCCAGCAGACAAGCAAATCTGTTCAATCGTTATTAGCAGTACATAATTCATCACCACAAAACAGCCTCCTTAGGCAGACTACTGTAAGAACCATGTAAAAGTTGAAAGAAGATCCATCACCAAAAAACTTCCTTCTCCCTCTGTATCAAGTTTAAAAGAGTAATGGGAAGATTTAATTTTTTTAGGTCCACATTTCCAAAAATAACTTACTTTTCATCCTTGCATTTTTACTATTTTGAAGATGCCCCAAGAGCACTATGAGGTCTTCAATAACACGAAAATATTGAGAACCTGAGGAGCTGCAGGCATGAATTGCAACTGCCACCATCAACTGTTGTATATCACACGCAAGTAGCTTGTAGTCATTCAGAGGAATGCTGTAAACAAAGTTGTAATTACTAGAAACATGAAAATGTTAGTAGGTTGTAATCTGTAGCAAGACCTACTAGTTTCCAATCACTGCTCCTGCCAGTCATGCCAAACACTACATTGTACTTCTTATAAGAATATTACTGCTGAACAGTATAAAAAATTAATTGGCGAAGAAAGCTCTTTTGCAAAATAAATGCCTCTGAATTTTTAAGACATTCTAACATTAACGTAATACACCTCTACTAGAAAAGTAATGACAACTGTCAGATCAGGCTAACCAAAAATAAGTCTGAAATCCTAGATTTCTCAAGAGACAGTTCTTAAATGAAGGAACATCTAGTTTTGCCGCATTAATTAAAACTATACCAGGTTAAAAGTGAAAACTATTTATTTCTTCATCATACTAAATAATGAAATATTTGGTAAACAACCACTTCCTTAATTGCTGAATGCATGTAGTAAGTCATGTTACCTCACACATTAAGTCTATATTAAGTCTAGTCATACACAGAATTTTTAACATGGAAATCACACAAGGCATAAGACTGCAGATTTGACATCAGCTACAGATGCAGTAAAATTCTAGCATCTTCTGAGCCACTACCCTTCTGTCCAAATAAGATATAGTAGAAAAAGCATTTGAAATGCATGCGTTAATACACTCACATTTTAAAGCATCATTTTAATTGAAAATGTAAGGTATTGAAAGAACATTTTAGACCCATTGTATTCCATTGTTTGAACTAAAAAAAAAAAAAAAAACAAAAAAACCCACAGATAACAACAAATTACACTTTAAGCTATAGTTCAAGACAAAGACCACAAGAAGAGACTAACTTTGTGTGCACCCTTTGATCATTTTGGAAATTAAGAATACAACACACTTGAGTTTATGCTAGGCTTCTAGCATACATATGCTAGGTTACAACAGTCTGCACTGTCATATAGCAGCAGACGAAATACTCACTTTGTTTCCAGTCCATTGAGAGCAGCTAGCGTGTTACACAGCACGTAGAGCAAACCATTATCAAGCAGCAGGTCTGCAACTTTTGAGCAGGAATTTATGATTTGCAGCAGGAGACAGAAGGAGTTATGCAGCAGAATATTATCATATAGCGAGTTCTCTATAAGACCCAGAACAGGAACAACACACCACTTTTGAAAGAGTCCAACATTCTTGACATCTTCCAGATCAAATCTATTGAAATAAATATAAGCAAGATTAATAGACCCTTAAAATAGCATCCTGGAACAGGTAAGTGGTATTTTAAATGCTGGAAAGCCAAGAGTTTATGACAGTATTTGACAGAGATGTAGGTGTCAGTGTCTTGCCTTTCACTGCAGTAGCAATGCCTGTCTAATCATGGAAATAAGAAAAACATATAGCATTTCAAAGAGCAACATCTTAAGGAAGTGTTTAAGTATATAGACAATTGCACTACCATCAGTGGTCTACATTATGGATTTCTCAAAATTAACATTTTAATAAATATATCAAGAATGCATTATTTTTACAGTAATAATCTTAACTGGCACACAGATTAACAAATGAGATGGAGTTTTGCCTCGATAAAGTAATATCTGACTAACAGCAAGCTTACGTACTGCATATATTACTGCTTAAGTCATTTTTAATCACGTTTGTCAGCTTCTGGTTTATTTAAATTGTAAAACTCTGAACACAGCTACAGGTTTTATATTACTCCCATGTATTAAGAAAATTGGATCACTATTAAAAGCTTATCAGTTTATCACATGCCTGAGATTGTTTTAGGATTGCAAATAACAGTCATGAAGATGACTTTTCCAACCCCATAACCTTTTTGAAGAAATATCAGTTCTACCGGGGAACAGTTAAGCAATCAGAAGGTTTCAATCTTGCAGTTAAACAAGAATGATTCTACTGGATGAAGATCAGGGCAACAAGGCAGAAGTCTGATGGTTAAAAGGCAAGTGGACAGAAGCTTTTTGCAATATTTATGTACTGCTAACTATGTGTACACTGTACTATGTGTATGCTCTCTACTGCACAGTCATTAACTAGTCAGACTAATTCTACAAATATCATTTACTTAGAAAAGTAAACTGCCTGCCTGAAGGCAGTAATTCCTCTTTTCCTGTCAGTATGAGGTGTTTTTATTCAAGGAAGTGGTACATCTGTGAGATTAGCTGTAAAGCAAATGGGGACATTTACACTCGGGCCCAAGTCAGGGAAGCAACTGGCATCAAGCTTTTTCCTTAATCTCTTATTAAAATTTAACAGGAGTAGTCTAGTGACCACTGAAAACTTTTGTGGAAATTTTGGGAAAACAAATCAGTTTGACACAGGATGAGAGAGAATAGGAAAAGGTTTAACTGACTACAGTAAGTTCTAAGATTCCCAGGGATCTTGATACTTCAAGGGCCTGAGATTTTAAAACTCCAGCTCTTCCATAACATGCTCCAGTTGGATGAAGCAATCCACAGAAAGCTTAAGGACCATACAGTACTATAAGAATTTATCATACTTTAAGGAGATTTCTTAAAATTACAATGAAATGTTTCAAACCAGTTTTGGAGGAACTGTGTTCATGGTTGCTAACTACTAGGAAGAGAATGAGAATTAGCTATCCCCATCCTTGCCATCAGCAGATAGGTGCTGACAACCAAAGGCTGCTTTTAGCTCAAACATTTAATTACCAGGTGCAGAAACAAAGCAGTACTTACTCTTCATCCAGGCCTACAGAATGGCCAAAGAGCATTTTCAAAAAGCATTCTACAACTTCCTGAGTTCCCTGGTGAAGGTACAGCTGGTTGGCTAGCAAGGAGAAGCCACGATTCTTTAAGAATTTTTCCTTCTGCTCCCTCCTTGCTCTGTTGAAATACGCATCCAACAACTAAAAATAAATGTATAATTATGATATAAGATTTAAACCTTTCACGAGTTGCTTGAAAGTTAAAAACTTGAACCTGTAATTTGAATGGCCTGAATTGGAAGTCTCAAAATATTTTAAATTTCAGATTAAAAATCTGAATTTGTCTATCTGCAACTATAATTTACATTACCCTTGCTACACCCAGCAGTTAAATTAATCCTTTTGAGGATTACCTTAGATTTTCAGTGAAGTTAAAAAGAAATGCTCACATAAATATATCACTTTGTTTTATACTTGTCAAATCCTGCGTGTGTCTGCACGTGCTTGTCATTTTTTTTCAGATCATTCTGCTAATGAAGACTCATAACCTTCTCAGTCTTCAAGTTAAAAATACAAATCTATGCCAAGTCCTGCATCTACATAATGTTACTGCCTAAGAACATTTTTTTGTTGTTGTTAATAGTATAAAAGCCTTTGAATATGCTTTAAAACCTCAGGTCCATGCTCAGGCCATAGAGGTGTTGTTCCCAAAAGAACAGAAAAAAAATTAGTCTGAAGAAATCAATCTTTGGCTTGCATGCTACTTGAACAGTGTTTGATACGCTTTATACCAAGGAGATAGTCAATAATTATTTCTATATGGGTGCTTCTATTTACCCCAGTTGTGTTATGATATATTTCCAAGCGCCTTAGCTTAAATCATGGAATATTTATCTACAGAATGACTCCCTAGTTTTTTCTTTACATCAGTAGTTCAAAGGTAAAAGTTTTATCTCTGCAAAAATCAGGAGTAAAACTACAAAAGCCAAGAACAAATGAAAAAATAATAAGGAAACTTCATGATTCACAAGCTGACAACGTTTTAGCTGCACACATTACATATAGGCCTACTTTAATGACGCCTTGTTGTATGAGAGGAGATGGGTGGTTCACAAGTACTATAAGATAATCAGGTTGGATAAGTTTGTCCATCACATCTTCTAGCATGATATCTGGTAAGATTAGGAGAACTCCACGCAAGAGGTCATATAATCCACAACAGATAAGCACAAGACAGTCTTCTGTAGATCTGAAGACAAAGAAATATGTTTTACCACAATTTGTCTACAACAGGAAACAACAGAGGAAGGTGGAGAGAAGGAAATCAGATATATCTTCTCCTACTCCCAGTACTTTTTTAGTACTCATTTTTGGGTCTCACAGATAATGGGATCAGAATTACTGGCTTGAGATTTTTTTGGTAGATATTGTAACACAAGTTACCACTCCTATTATGCCAGAAAGTATCAAAACTCCTAATGTTACATTCTTTGCCTAGGTAATGCTTAGAGTTTGAAACATCGCAGTAGTTCTGCTTACCAAAATAATTTGTTTAATGACAACCACTGAAAATATTCTATTATTTTTCAGACTTGCTATTCTTGTAGAGTAGTAAACTATTAATTTTTGTTTATTTCATACCTGTCATCAGGGCTTTCAGATATTTTTTGGGTGTTCTCACTGGCTGAAGCAAAGGCAAGACTCTCCCAGTCTTCAGGGATTACATTCTTGTCAGCAAGGCTCGGCCAGCGGGCAATAATGGATGATCCTCCATGAACAGAAAATGCTAGGCCCAACCCTGCAAAATTACTCTGACTTTTCTGATATGAAGGGAGGCCTTTCAGATTGTCTGGACGACGCAGAGATGCTTCAGATGTAGCACTGCTGTCATTATATTTCATCTCCATATCTGTTTCTTTACTTTCAAATACATTTTCCAATAATTCTTCTTTCGGAATGTCTTCAAATGTTTCAGCAGACGTTAACTCCGAGTCACAAACTGTTTTTGCAGACTCACAACTGCTAAGAAAGAGCTCCTCTTGTACTCTTTTTAAGGTTTCACTACTTCCTACAAAACCAGCTTTACCCTGGAAATCACCATAGTCACTCTTGCCAATATCCTGAAGGCTATCAATGCTCCTGCCCAACTTCTCAGTTAGTCTTTTTTGATGGACTTGAGGTGAGGAAGTAGGAGATGCTGGCAAGCTTTTGCAGAGCCTTTTAGGTGCTTGACAAGCTCTTTTCTGCTGCATGCTTGCCTTGGAAGTGATTCCTAAAGAAATAAAGGCATCTTTAGCATTTCTTTTGCACCAAGAACAACGCTATCCCCTCAAAATTGCTTTTCACATGCATTTAACAGATTTCTAAACTCCTTTTATGTGGCATAACAGATTCAACATCTGGCATGTTATGCAGGCATACATTTTGCAAGTCTTATCTTGACAAATCTAGAAGATGAATAAAATGCAAAATGAAATGTATAGAAGCTGGAATTCTTGGATTTATATTCTGCTGTTCTCAACTAACCCTCAGTAGGAAATTGTATAGAATCACAGATGCCTTGATGGTGGGAGTGACTTCCAAGGTCATCTAATCCAACCCCTTTGCTCAAAGAAGGGTTAGAGCAGATTGCTCTGTTTTCTTGTACATGCATATCCCTATGTATTTTAGTAACATGAGAAAATATACAGCTCACAAACTAGTTCTACTCCTTTTGCACTAAGGCACTGCATATATTTTAAACTTGTAATGGACTGTTTTACTTACTCTTCTTACTAATGGACTTGTTTATTACTCTTCCTTGTAAGAGTATACATGTTCAGCTCAAGCACTCAGATTTTTGGTGGCTTTGTACAAATGCCTTTCATGAAAACATAATTGTAAGAGGGGCAGTAGTTTGCATACCAGCCTGTTACCTTTGACTATAAGAAAAGGAGGTTTTGCTCAGCCAAGAGTATTTTGATAACTGTGCACCAGTTCATTCTAATGCAGTGATGATGCACCAGGATACTTCTACGAGTGCTATCTGTTTTCTGTTTGCTGAGTCAGATATCTACGTGCCTCTCATTGGTACAGTCACATAGATACATTGCCAGACCAAGTAACACCTTGCAGCCAATAGGGAGGATCCACATAGCTGCAGTCATCTCATAGCCAGGCTTGCACGCAGAGTGCGTGTAGTGCTCCCAACTGCAAACCTACATGCAGGCAGGATGCCTGCCTTTAAAAAGCCATGTTCACAGCTTGACTAAATTTGGAAATTCCAATTCAGAAACACAATGCTCAGGAACATCATAGAACAGTTTTAAAAAAAAGACTTAAGTTACAGGTTTTAGCTTTTGATTTAGAGGTGATATTTGTCATTTGAATAGGAAAATCTAAAAATCTAAAAAAAAATTCAGCTACGTGATTTTACAGTGATGTCTAAAGCATCACAGTTTATTGCAGTACACCATCTGAAAGAGTTATCAGACTAAACTAATAGCACCCATGTTCTAAATGCTGAAATAATATACCTGAACAGCTGCGAGGAAAATAGGGAATGAAAATCTGTATCTAAGCCCTAATCACTGTTTTTTCGTTAAACTATGACATACTTTGCATTCATAGCAGAGGAATTCAAAACTGATCAAAGAAGTTATCTTTGGACCTCAAATGGTTTAGCATTCCACGTGAGACTGTCAAGCAAGTTACTCACTTGTAATTTATATACCTGTTTGTACACAAATTGTTCTTTATGTTTTTCTATGTATTTTCTCTGATGTAGGAACAGTGCAACATCCACAATATAAGCAAATGACGGTATTTTAAAATAGACATTTAACAATTATACTCTAATAAAAAAGCATCAGCTTAATGCTTTCTGAATAGATAGCAGCTTATTGCTCATTATTCTAACTTTTCACTGGTTAGGCATTCTCATACTTGCCTAGCGAGTCGGTTTAATAAATGAGATTGTTCTCAGCTATCTGGATTGCTTCCCTGCCTGAACCTACCATTCGTGAATTCAACAAAATAAGTCTGGATACAAGATTGACCATATATCTAAATCAGTGCACTTTCTTGTTCATCTCAGCTTGCCAAAGAAGAATAGAGGGAGAGTATTCAATTCAATCCTTATTCTGCTGATCAAGCGTCAAGCTTTAATAAGGGCTTAGTAAGAAATCTGTGAGAACATGCTTTTTTCCAGAATTGATTACCTTCCAGGGGTGAGGCAGTAAATCCAGTTGGAGACGTAATGACAAATGCAGAACTGTCTATTGACTTCCCACCGCTGCTGGAATTTCTCAGGTACATAAGTGATTCGACTTTCTCTTGAAAAATTTTACCATCTGGAAACAAAAGATAAGGGGTAAAACAACTACTCAGAAGCTTACTTACAAGCCTTACTTAAAGATGTTCCTTCCCAGCACACTGCTAGCAACAACTTTGACTTCTTGTAATATCAGAGGATCACCTTGTTCCCCAAAACATTAATCTAATGTAGCGTATAGCATAAAAATCAGGTTCTACTCCTACATCTACTAACATCAGAGCACAAATGTAGACTAAAATTATACTGCCATGAAAACAGACCAGTTACTAAAACTGGAAGTATGTGGCCATCTGTTAAGGGAGAAAACATTTTGAACTTGGCTCAAATTCAGTGTTTACATAGAACACAGTTAAGATTCTTGTACAAGATAGTACCATACTAAAGTGTGGACATCTACTAGTTTTTCATTTAATAAAAAACCGATTTTTTTAAGAAAAAAATCTAGAATATCACTGCTTGCCAAAGCATTCACCTGTTACAGATATATTAAAAGACCAGCTATCCTAGATCTACAAGGGTTGTGATGTAGCCATAACAACAACATGTACTTTCTCTGACTTGTTCACAATGGTGCCTGACAAGGCCTTTCCAAGTGTGGCTGACCATTCGCTAAAAGTTTTCCTTGGGCCTTTCATTCAAGAACCCACAATGGAAGGTCATTTGAGGCACATTAATAACATTGCCAAATTAATTTTAATTTGCAATTCATGTCCATACATTTTTTTTTAATCTTAAAATTTTACTTGTAACTTTACCGATTTCAAACAGCTGGATATACCCAATAGATCATCCTCACTAGTTTTTCACTAGAATCAGTTTCCTAAATAAGGAGGATGCCATCAACACTGTAAAAGATATTCAAAACCTTAAATGATTGACATTGATATATTATACTCTTGAGCCTAAATAACTGATGCTGCAGAACCAAGTGCATCTAGTAGCTCCCAAATTTTTATATGTCCAAGAAATATTGTATCCATGCTCACAGCTAATGTTACACGCTCCATTCAACACCACAAAGTCTTTAAATGCAGAACATAAAACAAGTTCTAAAACCTCATTAATTCTGTACATACAATTACTATAAATATCATCTTTGGATACTACTATATAAATAATCACTCTACAAATACGGAATATTTTTTTCAATTTTAGTCTAGAAGCCAAATTGTATCTTATTGTCTACTACTACTTAAGCATGAGGTATCTACCTATGTGCAGGGAAAAGTAGAAGTTGGTAGGGTTGTGACAAACATATGTATTAGTGGGAGGGTGAACTGCTAAGAGGAAATTGAAGACCAGTGTCAGCAACTCCAGGTCAGGGGGAGATCCAAGTACTTCTTCAATTATTTTCACAAATGACCTACAAACCTCCCGAGGCAGAGATGCAAGATGACCTTCTTTATGTTCCTACAAAGGAGGAATAGTACAGCTGTAAGTTACTTGCATTTGCATTTTCCCATAAATTTGTCATTCCCCTACCCCGCCAATTACCATGCTGTAACAAAAGAACAGACAAATAACAAAATCTGTACGCTTTAAACCAAAAGTTATTGCATGTATTAATTATTACCTAAGCCTAACACTTAAAATTCAGACATGAAAAGAATACTGCATATGTTACATGCAAGTTCATTTTCAAAATGCCTGCCTTCTGCATGCCATACTCCTTTGATTTAAAGCACTGGAGCCTTAAAACACGAGTGACTCTTGAAATACTTGTTTTTTCAAGATTTTACATATTTATAAAAAGTATTTATTAAAAATTCTCAAAAGATTGAAATAACATTTACTATTTCACAATGTATTTAATTTCAAAGTGAAGCAACTCCTCCCTCCATACACAAATTCATTTAAAAACTTTGCCTACATTTCATTTTTGGTCATCAATACTCAGGAATCCATGTCAAAAATATACTAATATGTCATACCTTTTCTTGAAAGTGACACAAATTTGATCACCCCTAAAACATAAAACCTTTGCTTCCTGAAAAGCACACAATTCTTATATGATTTGTGCTTCTCAGTAATGAAGACTCAAATGTAAAACTAGTGAGACATGTTGAACCTGCAAAGGTGCAACTTATTTCTGCTCTTAGTCATACAAAGTACATTTGTTTATGCTTTCAGTTAGAACCAGACAATTAAAACTTCTCATCTCTTCTGTGAATCAGAAAAAATAGCACTGCTTGCTCTACCACCATGACTAAAGTGGTAGCTGGAAGCAGAGGACAAGCCAAGGTATAGTCTGTAGGAGCAGATTTTTCAAAAGTATCTTTTTTTCCTCCTTAAATAAAAGTAGGTATTTGACAAGTACAAAATAGGATTCAGACAAAGTACCTGGAGAACTTGGCAGGTTAACAAGAAGTGATGTACCACCTGAGCTTTCAACAGCTGTTTAATGTTAAACATCTGTTGGTGATGGTTGGCTCTAATAAGGATTTCTAGAGCAGCTAACAGAGTTTCCCAAACACCTTCCTAAAAAACAAAACAAAACAACAACAACAAAAAAAGATAGAGTCAAAACTTTGTTCAGGTCTAAACTGAGAACTTCTAACAAATTAGGAAGATAATCATACAGCAAGTTTCCCATCTGAAAAGACATATTAAGTGCAAGTGTGTCAAGTCAGAATTAGAAGCCATCAAAAGTCATGCTCATTAAAGGCATAGAATTTAGCTTATTTTAGTGATTGAAGCTAAAAAATTCTAAACATTATTTCTCACCTATCCTGAGTTTCGTATACTCTTTGTTTTATTTATGTTTTCTACAGGTTTCTAAGTGGAGGGACAAGCAAGTGGTCTTCCTCAGACTCAACAGGTTTCTCTTAAAAATTAGGACTTCGCACATTTACTAGAGAAACACACTAAGGTAAGCCACAGCATTGACACTTGAGAGCTTGAAATTACTACCAACTATCCAAAGATATTAAAGGACCATTAATTTTGGACTATTTTAGTAGTCCAAACCTGAACTGAAATCTAACCAAAGAAATTGCTTTCAGATTTCATAGCACTTTATAACCATGTTGTTTAATTTAGCTTTTAACCAAGGAAAAATAAAATCTCTTTCTAAAAAAGAAAGTAATTACCTTTGCTTTAGACCAGATCTTCCAGTCAAGCAGTAGCTTTTCCAACAACTGAACATCCTGGATTACTGCAGTAGAATCCATGTCAAGCGTGAATTGCCCGTTTTCACTTACATAAAGAATTTCATCACTGCAGCATCCTTCAAGGAGAGTCTTAGAGGGAAAAAACAATTAAGTTTGCAAGTACAAAACAGGATAGATGTCCTCTCAGATTTATGAATAAATTCTTCAAAGGGATATCAATATTTTTGATAAGGAAAGCACAGTCTACATGCCCAACTTGGAAAAGAGCTTAGTAACAACTGGAAGCATTTTAAAAGCCTCATAAGGCAAGTGTACAGAATTAAAAAAATGCAGCTGTTAAGTGCCAAGATGAGCCCTCAACTAAAACACTTGAAAACCTTAAGCCACGACTCAAACTTAGAATACTCAGGTTTCACTATATTAAAGGGGCATTCCTAGCAATTCTATCCACCAGAAGATACCAGCCTGAGTCTGAGGGACTCAGTAGTTCGTCAAAATATTTCCTAATAGGTGTTTTCATGAGAAGTACCAAGGAATATTTCCCATTGCAGGTAAACTTTCTAGAAGAGCTTTGTCAAGACACTTTCAATAAACAGCTGTTATACAAACAGTTTAGAGAGCTTCACCTTCAGCATGCAAAATCCAACAATGCACTTGGGTTTGACCAACACTCGATGAACCATGGAATAGCCGTTACAGTTTTCCATCTCCTGTATTCTCTGCTGATTGTACTTTGTTAAGGACAGTATAAGTTGAAGTGCTAGAGCTTGAGTGTCTTCACAGCTGCTAATCTCTACAACCTGAAGAATAAGTTTAATAGACCAGTTTAAATGATAGAGAACCCTAAATGCTTCCTTGCATTTCTAACTCATATCTTCTGGATATTATAATACATACTTTCAGAGACTTTCAGATTATGTACACAACCTGCATTTTTGTATTGCATACATACACATTCAGATACTACCTAAAACGACAGAATTCCTACTGTAGTAAATCATGATCTGCTAAGACTAACATGAGTACTTACAAGAATAGGATGCCAGAAACAAGTGTTTGGCTAACCAAGACTAAAGGAATATCTTACTTGGCAGAGCACAACTCCCCTGTGCCTCCTTACCCTAGCAAAGAGGAAAACAAATGCACCAGTTCCTCCAATTTCATGTAGTATGCCCTGAAGGGTCTTATATTCAACTGGTTGAAGTAATTTCAGATGATGAGAATCCAACACACCACTCTGAACTTCTTTTGAACTGAAAGGACGCTGAGAAGGTACAGTTTTCACTTGACTTTTTAGTCGAATAACAGGTTCATATATGGTGTATTGACCAGGGCAGCATGTAGTATAAACAACAGCAAGACTTTCCTGAAACAAGAGAAGTTTATAAGTTAGATTTCAAGAAAGTTGAACTGATTATTTAATATGGGGGGGTGGGAACTCACCTAATAGCCATTAGTAGTAAATTTTTCAGTTCATTTCTACTTTACCCTCATTCTCCTCAAAGCTTTGTATGGGTGTGCATTCATCGTTACGTAAGTAGCAAAGACACATAAAGAAACTAAAGTACTCACAAATTTTAGCACAGCTTATTGGTAGCTACACTAGAGAAAGTTAAAAAAAAACTAAAAAAAGAACCTGCCTCATTACCTAAAGCATCAACAATATTTCATATAAAAACAAAGTTGCTGACAAAGTTAAAATTAAAAGACTACATGGAAGTATTGTGATAAAGTTTGCATCCCTTTATAAGAGTGGGCAGATTCCTTTAGTGTCCAAAATAGAAAATAGCTGCTATTTTTCAAAATGTCTAACTGTAAATTTGTTCTTCAATCAGCCACGCTGTCAGAGCATTGCAGTAGATGATTACATATGTAGAACTACAGAGGTTTCTTCACGGAAAAAAATATTTGGATCAAAATCAAAATGCCTGTCACTGGCAACTGACCATTTGATGGAAGGTGTAAAGTGATGATACCTGGAACGCACTTACCTACAGGAGATAAGATTTAAGTCTATTACTTTCTGTACAAGAGATGAATTCACCTCTGAGTAGTTCTACTTTGTTTACTCCGAGTTTTGTGCAACAAAGTAAGCATAAGAATTGCATGATGCTAATTTAATTAGGTTTTCACCTAGTCCACTCATCCCCTTAACTCAAAGTTTAGTGCCCATAAGGATCATATTCAGACAGAATGAGTTTTTGCTTACAACTACAACACTGCTGAAGAACCAAATCAGAAAAATCACTCCAGTGGAGACAGTTTGTAAAACAGAAATTAACTGATAGTATTCCAAAACAGGCCTTATTGATAAGGTCATTTTTTTTAATCTCCCCTTGAAATAAACAGGAAGAACAAGCAGTGACTTTAAGAACTGAATTTGCTTCTGCTTACTTTGACAGTGAAGCACTTTGGCAGGGTGGGGGAGGAAGGGAGAGGCAACAAGAAATGTGTTCCCATTCTCTTAATCAGTTCTAAGAGAGGAAGAACCATTTTTACGACAAAACTTACAACTAAAGGTCCAACATCCACTTCCTTTTTTGTCATTAAGAGCTCCTTAATTTGTTCACATTGTAGAATATCTTTACTTATGTACTTAGAGCAATCAGTTAATGTTTTTCCATATTTACAAGGCATTACAGATGTGAAGTCTGGTCCACAAGCATATAAATAGAATGCTTCCTCTGGTCCAATCTTTGCACCTAAAAAAAACATCCAGAAGAGGATTTAAATTCTCAGTATACAGTAAATCAAAAAAAAAAAAAAAGAAAAAGAAAAGAAAAAAAGGTAGTAGACTATATGAGAAACTTTACAAGGAAGAAACTAGCCAGCTTGTGTAGGACTTGCTCATCAGAAAACTAGTACAGGTTAATGCTCATTAACTGCAGTAGATCAGCGATTTCTGACACATGCTGCAGGACAGATGAATTCAGTGGGAGGGAAACTGAAGCAACTGAAAGGAAAGTGAGAGCCAGGAAGGTAATCTGGACAAACTGAAAGCCAGCATACATTATAATGCGTTTCTTCCTGCAAGTGAAAAGAATCTATCCAAGCATCCCCAAAATTTTCAAAGGGCAGCAAGATTACAGATAAGAACATGCTATAGCATCATGGAGAGTCAGAGAGCACAACTAAAGGAAACTCAAGGAAATGGTAAATTCAGTTTACCAAGGGAAGGAGAGAAAACAAAACAAAACAAAACACCACCACCACCACGAAAAGAAAACCACAAACAAACAAACCACTATGTAGGAAACAGACCAAAATGGACCTCACTTCCCCTTCCAGGCAGGAAAGCAAGGATTTCCCAGGTGATCTAGTTTTGAGATTGTTTCTTCAAAAGAAGCATCTCCTAGCTGGTTAAGAGCTCCAAATGGGTCAACTGCTTTGCTGTTAAATAACTGTCCAAATGCCTAGATATTAGTTTGCAGTCTTATGCTGAAGAGCCATATGCTTCCCCTCAGCTCGGCGATGTGTGGGTGCCTGACAATAGTACAGCAGTATATCCAGGGCTCCCTGGAGGCATTTTAGGCAGACACAGACAGTCTGTGCACATCCAGTAGATGGAGCTCGCCTTTGCCACAAACAGCTTTTCCACAGCGTGCACTTGTAAGTGCATGTTTATGCCAACTTATAAAACTATAAAAATAAACTTTAATGGAGAGGAGGAGGGAGATGAAATTAACAGATATGCAAGTTTAAAAAAAAAAAACTTAAAAAATTAGAAGTACCATTAAAGAGAAGCAGATTTCCAAGATCCCATCTACCCGACAACCGAGGCAAGTCTTCTTGAGAGGACGTGCAATGGCCAATCATACAAAAGGTTTTATTGCTGTCAGATGATAAGCTTGTTTTCCGGGGTAGTGTATAATCCAAATTAATTTCACATTTCCTAAAAACAGATATAAAAATATAAACATTGAGAACTGATCAAATTGCTACCTAAGGTATTCAGCTTGGACTTACGCACATTTTAATATTTAGTTACCAGAATTAAATTACTAAAGCTACTAACAACTTCCAGGAACCTTAGAAATCAATTACATTAATGTAACTTATGTGTGTGTAAACATAAATGCTACCTAAAATGCGTCAAAGACGGATGGAGTCCTAAGTGGGGTTGCCATGCAGTCAGTTTTCCCTCCCTGACGTCAGTGAAGGAAAAAAATATACACAAGCAGGCACAGCTGAGTTATTTTACACAATTTAATATATCACAATTTGTCCAAAAAAATGCTCCTAAAGAACCAGAGGCCTTTGGCCATACTAATTCAATGACCACAGCTCAGAATATGGGCTGAGAGATACTAGGTCCAGAATTTTCTTACGCAGGGAAACCTTGTCAGTTTATGCAACCCCTCAGTGCTGTATAGCCATAGGCGGTAAGCACAAAGCTCTCGGGAATCACCCGATAAACCTAATGTGAGCTCACACGGACACCTGAACAACAACTGAACTGTAAAGTTCAGCTGAAGTTTCCTGGAAGAGTCTATCACTGCTTGCATTAGCAAACAGGGCACCACATAGAGAAAAGCCTCATTAATTACACATGTGCAGAACGGTATTTTCAGTTTTCCCAGTATATCCATATTTGGACTTTTTTGCACGTCTATATGTACAGACTGCATTTTGACCACCTATTTGGATTACAAAGTTTTCCTAATTTAGGTTTTAGGTACTTTTTTAAAGAGTAGAAAATTGTCTTCTCTCTACCTCCTATTCATTTCTCTGTTCAACAATATTGCCAGTACTTGAATACTATGCCTCTTGAATTCTATTACCAAAAAGATCATGCCCTCTGCTAACTTCAAGGTATAGCTTTCAGGGGATTTCATTCTCAAAATTATGTAGTACTTACCTCCCTTACTTATTCCTGATCTGAAACCTTTGCTTCAAACTCAGCCCAATACACATCTGTTTTTATTTAAAGAAATCATGATTCTAGACATGAGGGGTATCTTGCTAGTAATTCCTTTCCTACCCCAAAAAGCTACTTCAGCCTGCACTGAAGTAGCATAGAGATTTTCCTACTAGTTTACATCCTCTTAAAAAGAGGACACAGATCTAGGTGCAACTGCCATATACTTTACCTCTGACCAGAAATCCAAAGCAATAGCTTTCCATGAATATTTTTCTTGCCCTCTGGCTGCTGTTGGTATGTAATTGCCAAATGTTGCCACTTGCTCACAAGGAAAATATTCTCTGGAGATTCAGCCTGTGCCAGTAGACCTGCTTTCATCTCATCATTTGGATCCATGCACATACTATGAAAATAACAGAAGAGGAAGAACAAGTATTTGTCTTTAAAAAAGAATTCTTAAGACCAAATTCTGCACTTTTTAGCCTCATAGTAGTTTAAGTTACACTGTTTAACTCTCTCATTTTTTCAGTAACAACTCTGTATTTAGAGACCAAACATAAAACAGGGAAATCTTCAGACTATGGCTTCAACTTTGTTATTTAACTGTGTGAATCTGCTTACATTTTAAATACGGATAACGGATTTTAGAGAAAAGTTCAGTTTATTAAAAATTGCAAACACCCTGTGAAACAGTGTTTTAAGATTGCACTTCAGACATCTTTTGAAATCCATTATTTGTGAGAATTAAGCTTACAAACACCTTAAAATTATTTTGAAACTATGACTTTAAATTACATTTACTGGGTCACCTCCATTAACATTTTAATGGTTAACTTACATCACTTTTGACTCATATTGCCATTTACTTTGCGTATTTATTATATACATATATATACATACATGAGTGTATATATAATATATATATATATATATATATATATATATGAGACATTCAAGACCAGAGGCTCACCTAAGCAAACAGCATAGCTGTAGATTTGTGAACAAACTTGACACTAACATCAATGATCTTGCCATTAGTGTTCCAGATAGCTATTCTATAGAAATTAATTTTCTATTCTACATCATCATTCTCTGCAAGCTGCTGTTACGAGTGAGATAACAGAATATACATGCAAAAGTGATCTTGTAAACTTAACAAATACACGGTAATAGCCAGTACCGAAATATGAAAGCTCTAGTGTTCAAATCTGCCCAGACTTGTATCATCAGTGCTTTGGAGCCCAGTGAAATTATATGAATACAACCATCTTCAACAAGTTTATCTCCCAAGCTTAGGTATTCCATTCCGATAGACTTTGTTTCATCTGGAAAGAGAAAAGTGTTTATATACAATTATCATAAAATAAAACCAACACATCCTACCAGCTACTAAGTAGGAAAAATAAATAGATCAGGTACTGAATTTGTTTTTTAAAAAAAGGGAGCTTACTAAGGTGCACAAGTTTTGCACAAGCACAAGCACAAGTTGGGGGTGTTTTTTTTTTTGTTTTGTTTTGTTCGGTTTGTTTTTTTATAGCTCGGTTTAATCTACTAAAATGGAGGAGCATAACTTCCACATTAACACTGCATTTTGCATATTTTTGTTTGTAATCAGGTGATGCCACTGAACTTTAAATTAGATAGAAAGTATTAAAGCTACTTTGACATGTCATATAATGTTATACTTTGGAAGTCTTAATTCTTCAGATTGATTTGGAGGAGAAAAACACACCTGTTAAACATGAGCTTGCACCTAATATTTTTTTAAAGACAATCCTAAAGGGTCAGGTATATAGATGAATAAACTGCACCTTTTTTGTAAGGCTGATAAACTAGTAAACAGAACTCCCAATCATAACTAAATAGAAACAAGTAGTACTAAGCCTTCACCTGTGCTGTCAAAGCTGTTCTCTCTTGCAGTTAACAGCTTGCCTCTTTTCTTGATCTTCTTCCCCTTTTCTGTCAAATTTTCTGCTTCATGACGACACTCCAGATGGAACCACAGAGAGACACTGAAGCCCTCAGACATGTGTGGCCAACAGTTTTGTCCAACTAAAGGCAGGTGAATTGGGGCTACATACCAAGACGAAAGCAGCTGGTGAGTCAAGTTTTCACCATCTGCCTCTTTCTTACTGTGTGAAAACTTAGCTCTTTTTAGTAGTCCAGCAGCCTTGTTGTTGGGAATACTAGCAGATTTTTGGGACGAACTACTATTTAAATGTGTGCCATGAAGCAAAGGAAAGGCAAGGTACTGTAATGGGTTCATATAGATATTGGTTTCTACAATCTTCAATAAGCCCTTAAGTAGGATCTCCTAGAAGAAAAAATATCAGACAAAAATATAAATCAAACTGTTTACACCATATAGCCAAGTCTCAACACTTCACTAAACAGGATCTTCTTCCTCAATTAAAATTGGATTTATGCTTCCCTAAAACAGATTGGCTTCCATATCCAAGCTGTCACATATTTACAATATTAAATATCATCTTCAAAGGATAACACCTCAACAGGTTTGAGGATAAAGTCCCTGCAGACCAGTCTTCAAATTACCACGCTTAGAATTTGGCTAAACCACAGTAAGTGGTCATTGAGCTGTCTTATCTCGCATAAGATTTGTTATATGTGAACAGCTGAACTTGTGCCGCCTCTAAAGCCCACACCTTTCACCTCACATCTGGAACAGGTTAAAGCAGCCCACACTGCAGTCATTTTGCTGTTGCCTCACCAGCAACAAAGCCATCTGAGCCCCTAAGCCAAAGTTTCTCAAGGTAAGTAATTATGGCAAACTACTTTTGTAAAATTGATGTGTGTCTTCAGTTTGTTCAGGTATTTTTGAATTTACCTCTATTCCCACACTCCCCAGGACTTCTCTGCAAACCAAATGATAGGTATTTCAGCAGTAGAGATTTCACAAGCAGCAGGTTCCAGCACTATGCAAACTGACTTAAGACAACTTGGAAAGTACTTCCTGTTAAAAAAACAGCACCCATTCCTGATATTGAAATGCTTTATAGCACTATAGAAATGGATTAGAGAGCTTTACAGTATTCACTGTTACCATAATGGCAGTCTCCTCATGATTCCTCTAGAGAAAAAGTAGTTACTAGAGTTCTTTCAGTAAGAAACTTCAAATTCCTTTTCCTTTTTCTCTTATGCATTTCTGTTTCATCTCTTGAAAAGGAATCATTCCAAGAATCAACTTTATTTGCACAGGTCAGTTATGAAGTTGCTATCCAATACGCTTATTTCCAAAAATATCTTGAACACAAAGGGATTTTCTTTGTGCTTCACTGTTCTTGTTAAGTCTGTGGATTTTGTCTTTCACAACTGCATACATACCGTACAGGGTGCCTTTTCCAAAAATATCCTCAGGAGAAGAGTTAACTCTTCTGAACAAGTCTGTGAGCTCATCAAGGAGACTAACAGGTCTACCAACACCATCTGACAAGCTGGAAGGAGGGATAAAAAAATTCCTTGAATACAATTTTTGAAAAACATTTAAGGCCTCACATACCATATGAGGTATGAGAAAGGATTAACTTGGAATTCAGAATGCTGCGATGATTACATGATGAATAATACAGAGATCGATTTTTAGAGTTTGATCATATTTCCTGATAGTATTATTATTCAAAATTTCACAGAATGAATCTAGAAGACTACAGTCCCTAGGTTTACTCCCAGGTTTACAAAAGGGAGTCTGAAAGTCTGGGAATCTAGCTTGTAGGCTCTCCCCACAAAGCCAGAGATCAAAGTCCTGGGATGGGTTTACAACAACTTCTGCTGTAGAGGAACCTCATTATGTGAGCTACCTTACAGCAAGCATATAATTTGGCTCCACATTCTTGGAGCAGCTAGCTATTTTCTATATAGAAATAAAAACAATTGAAAACATCAGTAAGTCTTGTGTTATGCAGAGATTAGAAATAAAAACTGATGATGTGCCAAGTCAGATTTAATCAGCAAGATGAAAATTACTTGGGAAAACAGCAGTTAACACTGTCATCTTAAGTTTACAATTTCAAGACAGTGTGTTCAGATCTGCTGGCACGTCTTTAAATAATACAGATTCCCAACAGCTCAAAAAATAATCCTATATTTACAAATAAGTCAGACATTTGTCACAAGTTAAATAAACACACAACTGCAAAGCTTCATATGTGTCAATGAGTTTGCTTGACATAATGCAATTGTTAAAAGAGGCTGAAAATTGAAGGCATAAATAGTGGTATTTATAATGTTATATATTTTTATATATATATATATAAACTCACCATGAACTCACTGGTGTATATAATATTTAAACTCACCATGAAAACTAGACTCCGTCTGGGCCAATATGTTTAGAAATCCTCCCAAAAGATTTTTAACAGCTCCCTTAAAAAAAAAAAAAAAAGTTGATATCTGAACAACATAAACCAGTTTAAGCAACATAAACAAAGATCGACAAACAAGAATTTGGTTATAAGAGAAATTAAAGCAAAAAATAAATCAAAGTACTTCATATTACAGAAATACTTTGATATTTGCTAGTAAACACACTTGCATGATCTGCACAGTTCAATCACATCATATCAAACAGAGGGACTTTGAAATCCAGCTGATTCAAAAAGAACTCTCTGGGCTACAACCACCTCAGGAACTCTGAGAACTCTTCTCCTTGGCCCCTTCCCTAAAATACACCGAATTAGAGGAACATCCTTCATAAAGGCAACCTCTGATATGGATCATTAGCATTCAAAATCAGCATTTCAAAAGCAGAGATTTATCATCGCTCTTCCCAAAACACACTGAAGAAAAATTTGATAGTGTCAAAATTTGGGAAGGAGCATTTTCATGTCCTCAGATCAAAATAGCCTAAAAATATGTAGCTAACTTGCAGTTTGAGTGCTACTTGAGTGCCTCCTTCTAAGAAATTGATATTTGCAATATACACTCTCAAAGATTTTTTCTAGACAGTGTGTGACTGATTGTTGAAGTCTGCTTTTATTATAGGGCTATTTAAATTAATGAAGACGTTTTTTCCTGAAATAAATCATAAGCATATCTGTGCATACTAAACAGGTATTAATTAGACTAAATGAAGTTTTTAATTATAAAATCATTTCAAGTATTGAGGTTCAGAATATGAACCATGCTAATGTTTTAAAGCTAATTCACAGAAAAAAATAGTGTGGAAATAAAAGTGTTTTCTACTTACTTTAACTTCTGCTTTTGATTTCAGCTGTAAAGCTAAATTTGAAAGTTCAATAATTTAATTTTAGATTACTTAGCCATATTTTCTTCTGTAGAAAAGGCACACTAAAATTGGTTAGTAAAAGGCAAAAAGTACAAGCTAACCTTCAGAAACTGGAAAGGATCATGAGGACATTAACCTGCACACTGGAAGTTTATAAAAGCCAAATAGTGTGTATACATGTAAGAAACATTTTCTGATAAACATTTCTCAAATATTTAAAACTCCAAGGCCTTCATAGATTACCTGCTTACAAAATATTAACAGTCTTGATGTATTCCTTTTCCACTTAAGTGAGTCATATACCACTGGAGCCATAATTACAATAGAACATACAGTGCTAAAAATGTTTGAGAGAATTATAGACAATGGAATAAAAAAAAGAATATAAAAAGGCACAACTACTTTTAAAGATAGGACAGAAGACTTCCTACTTATTTTAGTGCTTCTTGACAACAATGTGTGGGAAATCAGAGTAAGACTAAATACTCATCTGCATAACCCACATCCCTTTTAATACCTAGCACTTGGGTAGGAGTCACCACTTAACCTTCATTAAGAATTAAAAACAAAGACACTAGAGGGAAATAATCTTTCCTCATAATGCTACATATGTAACCCATATCACAGCTTAAGAGAAGAATACTGAATATATGAAGACAGTTTTGTTTATTAGCCTACCAGTTATTAAAACTTCAGTGATTGAACGGCCCTAAAAACAAGACAAGTGTGAAATTCAAAAACTTTGTAGGTCAAGTATCTTTCAACAGTAGCCAACTGTCCCTTCTAGTAACTTTAAAATTCAGTATAGCATCTACCTCTGGTACCATTTATTTACATTGTTTCAGGTCACATCAAATGCCCTGACAACACATTAGAATATTTCTGAGTTCACTCAGGTATAATGTTCCCATAAAACTGAAGAAAATAAGATATGCAGTGCTACATCTTTGTTTTTGTTTAAGAACTTTTCTGTTTGTTTGTTTTTACCTGTTCTATAAGTAAAGTGGCATTTCTCTCCTTCTGACTGATGATCTTCAGGCAACTTTGGAATACATGAGCAAGCACATCCAGACTTGCATTACCAGCTGAGAGCAAGTTTAGCTCTAGCATGCAGATTTCAGGATATATTAATTCTCCTTGACTGACGTTTTCAACTAAGTCATTAAAATAACCTGAAGGGCCAGTGCATCCTGGTTCTGCCTTTGTGACTGCTCCTGAAAGAGAAAAACATCTTAGACAAACTTATCCAAGTGAATATAGTTTGCGTGATTCAAACAAGACATCCAAGGATGTACTTTCTCCAGATGCCTCAGAGGTACAAAGCAAGAGTCACTAAATCACAGAATGGTTGAAGTTGGTAGGGACCTCTAGAGATTCTCCAGTCCAACCCTCCTGCTCAAGCAGGGACACCCAGAGCATGTGGCACAGGGTTGAATTATAATTACTTTTCAAAAATTAGGTGAACCTCCTGTTCTGCATTGGTTCTTCGCGTTTCCCTGTGAATCAGAAAATGCAAGGAAGCAGGTTCTTCCACTGTATGATCTTAAACCCTATCCCTTCCTTGACTTCCTGGGAAGTGGACACACTTAATTGATAAGCAATTTGTAAAATCTGACTAAAATCACTGTAAGAGAGCCCAAACTTCCTTAGAGAAGATTGAGTTTGTCAAGAAAGGAAAAAACAGATGTGTGGGTGAGTGGGGATTACTGGTTTAATAATATGGGGAAGAAGTTTAATTGCTTAATTCAAAATGCCAACATACAATAGATCATCTTCAGAAAAATTAAACTACAGGACAAAATATTTAAGCATTCCTTCTTATATTTAGATAAACCTTTAAACTATGTCACTTAAAAAATTTAATCTGAAGCACTTCCAACTCAAAAACATTTATCAAGCATCAAATATATCTATATACACTCCTACATGTTGTTACTGATGAAGTCTAGCCATACAAGTAAACAGCAATAACAGAATTTAGTTCCATTCAAGTACATTTCTGCTCATGCTGACCTCATATTACATAAGAGCATAAATGTCCAGATGTTCAACACATGGAAAAAAAAGCAAAATTAGGCACCAAAACAAATACAGCATAATACAGAATGTACACACTAGGGGCTGAATGAAAACGTAACAGGAGGTATCATGCTATAACTAGCTTGCTTAAATTTAACCTGATTCTTACAGGGTTATGTAAAAGTTTGAACACAGATTTGTAAACAAAGCAGTGATAAGCATCTCTGGAGAAAATTGCCTTGACCACAATCAATAATATATTTCAGCAATACA